TTTTCGAGGGGCTTGCGAAGCCACAGTTTACAGAAATTAGCAATATGATCTGGGGGAGCCCATTCTGCTGAGCGTGGGTGGCGTATCACCCTTGGGTCAAAAAGTGGAAGGCCTGAAGCATCCAGGAGGGTGTCTGAGTCAAGTACCTTACTCTTGTGGTCTTGACTTAGGAAGGTTTCTTTCACAAACTCCGATGTTGAGGAATCCTGGGGCGCATTCACCATGGGATCCTCATCAGAGTAATTGGGGTCATAGTCACTTAGAATATGGCCAGACAAATGTGAAGTAGAACCCTCTAGAGGGTCTGTAGTAGCCTGCGAAACGTGTTGGTTAGATTGTTTAACGACCTTAGCAGGAGCTTTGCCCTTGCCCGCAGTAGCGCTATTCCCTTTCCAGGGTCTCTTGCGCGGGGCGCTATCTTGGTCGGAGATATGGGAATCCTCAGAATCAGAGGGTTGTTGAGTAGAGGGGTGTACCTCTGGATTACGGTCATGGTAGGCTACCAGAGCCTTAGGAATGGACTCTGCGATAGTTGAGAAAAGCCATTCCTTAAGTTCGGCAGAAATCGCAGGGTCTTGGCGATCTGACATAATGTCAATTTTAAGATAAATGTAAACCCTATAAAACAACTATCTATATATATATATATATATATAGATAGATTATAAGTGTTAGAATGTCAATTAATGATGAGGCAACTCAATTAGAAAGTATGATGTGGGGGTCACCCACGAGACGTCAAATTCAATGGGGGTCACCCACAAATGCTTGGCACAATAAAATAGTAAAGGGCAATTAATGGGGATCACCCAATAATAGAGATTGTGAACAATAGATATATTGTACAGTTACTGAGGTGGGGTCACCACTATAAATTTACACTAATAATAAATATATATAATGTATATATAATGTACAGTAAACAATGGGGGTCACCCACAAAAATAGATCAGGTGGGGTTAGCCACATAAATATTAACACAGCAGTGTTTCAGTAGGTGGTGTCAACCACACAGATATTGTACATAATATGTACTTAAATAAGTAAGTGGGGGTCACCCACAGAAGGGCAATAAAATAGGCAATCACGCAAAATTTATAAAATTAAACCACACTGTAATTATACAAATTAGGGAAAGGGGTTCACCCAGATTGTAATAGAATGGTCCTGTGTGGGCAAAGCCTGTGGAAAAACAAATAGGAGATAGATCAGTATAGTGATCGTTTTTTTAATGAGTATATGAAATGAGGTGGAGATAAGATGGCAGCAACCTACCTTCCACAAGCTAGTCAGTAATATGACTGTACCCACAGGATTTGAAAAAAGAACTTGTGTGCCGCAGTGGAGGAGCCATTGGCAGTTACTCTGAGGCTGAAAATGGCCGCCGCGAGCTTGCCGCCGTTGAAAAGGGCGGGAAAAAGTCAGCGTCACAAGAGACAGACGCTAGTAGGCGGGAGGAAGGATAAGGGCGGGAAATAGCAGCCGCGGGCTCTGGGAAATGGAGTCCGCGGCTGAGGAGAAAGAGAGAATGGGCCGCGGCTCTTCCTGTGAGAAAAAAGCCGCGGCCAGCTGATTGAAAGCGGCAGGGTTTGAAAAAACCCTCCGTTCAGAGAAAAAATCCGGTAGGACATAAAATTTTAAAGGAGAACAATCCAATAATACAAATACAGTGAATAAGGGAAAAATAATATATATGTGAGGAGAAAGAAGAAAATATTTAAAGGGGAAGATGAGTAAATCAAAAAATAAAGTTTGTTAAGATGAGGTATATGTATGTAAGTAACAAGATTAAATAAATATTTAAGTAACTTAAACCAGTAAAGCAATGCAATTGGAGCAGACTCACCTGGGAGGCAAGCAGCAAAGAAAGAGGAAGTGGGAGGAGTTTGATGACACTATATTGTAGTTGAGATATGTTATGATTGGTTGATTTTCCATACAACATTGTTAACCATTTCTTTGCTGCTGGGAGTTACAGTAAAGAAAGATAAGCAAATATGAAGCCTCCTGTCTTGCCATAAAATTCAGGAACAGTGCACACATAAAAATACATTATTACATTTTATAAGGCTACTGAAAATCACCTATCTCAGCAAACAAATGTGGGGATTCAGTTCCACCATATGGCCATATTGTGTTAAGCCCACTACTACTTCACAGTACCCCAATATTGGTGGGTCCTACACTAATTCAAATGTGGCAGACTAATTAAATAGTGCTAAATAAGCTAGTCTATTTAAATAATCTGTTATAACATTTATTTCTGACCCTATAGTATTAAAAAAAAAAAAAAAAACACTATCTGGCCCCGATGCCCCTCCTTGCCACCCTAAATATAGTAAAATCTTAATTTTATCCCAGTCTGCTGGTGCTGACTCTGCCCACCTGTTGGGCAGCACTATCACTGACATTCAACACATATTCTGCCCACATTCGGCTTTTCACTAACTTTGGTGGCATTCATAGTTCAGTCCAAACGCAGCTCTCATTTGAATCTGGCAAATTTCCCTACTAACGCAAATTTAGCCTACAGTTGTGCTCAAAAGTTTGCTTACTCTTTGAGAATTGGTAATGTATGCAGCATTTTTAAAGAAAATATGAGTGAGCAGGCAAAATACATTTTTTTTTTTTTTCCTTATGTGATTCATATTCAACTGTAGGTTATAACAGAATGGCACAATCATAAAACAAAACATGGCAACAAAGAAAAAAATGAAATGACCCCTGTTCAAAAGTCTGCATATCCATAGTTCTTAATATTGTATATTGCCCCCTGTAGCATCAATGACAGCATGCAGTCTTTAGAAATAGTTGTGTATGAGGCCCCTAATTCTTGCAGGTGGTATATCTCTATCCATCCTTAAAAATCTAGATGTAGTATGAGTGGGTACACTAAATTGGACAGAAGGAAATTATAGTTTATTATAGCAAAAATCACAATATTTCTCTGGTCCTGAAACGGTACAAGAACTGACAATAACCTTAGTCCTTAAGGGGTTAAATTGCTTCACAGCCTACCACGCAGCTGTAGCAATGCAGGGTAAAGAAACATACTTCTGTTTCTGCATCTTACATCATAACTCCCAAGTGTCTATCCTTCAAATTATCCTGTTCCTCTTTCTTATTGTGGCATTTTTAACGGTTAAGCAAAGTGAGTGCAATGGTCAGGGCAGTTTGCTAAGTCTCCTATAACAAAATGAAATGAAAGGTGCCACAATTTCTGGCTTAGTGAATAACCCCAAACTGGTTCAGTCAGTGACAAGATCTTTTGCACAGTGACATCATGGTTCTGGAATTGAATAGAACTTACAAAACAATTGCTATTTTTTACACCAAACTGGACATAATAGCTAAGTTAGGAATGTTTTTTTTTTACCTTGGCTAATCTGGCCAAATGATTGAAATTCCTCGCTCATTTCCTGGTTTGGTGAATAGCTTTGTGACATGTGTCATCTTTGAATGTGTGCATGTTCTCTGCAACTCCTCCATGTGTTTTAACAACACAAACTTGGCACCCAAAATTAGGTACTGGTAGAAGATCTTCTTTTGGTTATTTTACATATAATGCTGTCTGTTTTTTTAAATATTTTTTGACAATAGATATAGTCATTGTTGTGCACACTTTATATTTGATATCAGAAGAAAAAAGTAAAAAATAAAATAAACGGGTTACACAGTCTTGATAAAGTCACTGAAGGGGACAAAACACGTAGACTGGCTATTTGATCCAGATCGTTTGACACCGCTCTTAAAGGCAGCCGTGGCCTTTTTTGAAGATACTGGCCGTGGTACACCCCGAGATCTCGGCTTTGTGTGCTCTCCAGACATACACCGCCTGTACGATACAGTTTTTTATATTTTTCATCAGTGATATATACCATATATTGGGTAGAGTTCACTGAGATCTCTAGCTTTCGTATTATTACCTGATACATCAGCATCCCTTGGATAGGTGGAGGGGGCCCCCACGGACACAGAATATCTGTATGATCATTCGCTGACTTTGTCAGATATATGCTAGTTTTAGGATGGTATTGTTTTACTTTGGTATTTTGTAGTGATTAGTCTATTGTTTTTCAAGCAGTTTTTATTTACATCCTGTTCACTGTTTAGTGAACATTTTTGGGGATCTTTTATATATATATATATATATATATATATATATATATATATATATATTACAGTGTACGTTCTTACTTTCTGTTTTTCTGGTGTATTCTCTGACTTATATTACATCTACATTTGATACATCTCGTTACACAGGCGTTAATGTTGTAGTTCTTCTTACTGCATTGCAACTTAGCCACTCTGCAGACTTGTATCTATGTATGATTGACTATTTTTACTGCTTTGAGTTGATGTGTCTTTTATCTGGTGGTACTATTAAATGTTATCTTTATTTTATATAAAATTGTTTTACTCATTTCATTTACTCCCCTATAGGAGAGCTCACACTAGATTTGTTTTTCACACTTTATATTTGCATTACTTAAAGTGTCAGGAAAACAAAGTGGTTTTCCTGACACTATAGTGCCCTGAGGGGGCCCCCACCCTCAGGGTCCCCCTCCCGTGGCGCTGAAGTGGTTAAAACACCTTCAGTAGCTTACCTTATTCCAGAACCGTGCTCCCTCTAAAACTGCTATGTTTGCGCCGGGCTCCCTCTGAAACTGCTATGTTTGCATCTGCAGGGTTAAAACCTGAGGGACCTGGCACCCAGACCACTTCACTGAACTGATGTGATCTGGGTGTCTGTAGTGGTCCTTTAAGTGTATCTGCATGCACTGGCGTACATACCGCGGCCCCAGCCCGCGCAGAGTAAGCGCGTGGGAGGGGGAGAGGGCCCACGGATCAGTTTTTGCACCGGGGCTCCATGGGTTGTGTGTACGCCACTGGATACAGGCAAGGCTGAAGTGGTCTGGGTGACTATAGTGTCCCTTTAACCCTAGTTTTACTCCCTTCCCTTTCTCCATTTTAACGTTTACCTTTTATTGCATTATTGTATAAGTTTTAAAATATAGATGGTATAATGTTTATGCTTTGCATTTATATAGCACGTGTACATAATAACAAGTAATGGATGGGCAAAATAATATTGGCAGATGCAAATGGATGAAGCGTAGCACATCCTCTGCTAGGAGAGTCATTGCCCCTCACCAGACATGAAAGAGTATTAACTCCCACCACCACTACCCAGGCAGACATGGAGGAGCAGTAACTCCCACCACCTCGACCTAGGCAGACATGGAGGAGCAGTAACTCCCACCACCACCCAGGCAGACATGGAGGAGCATTAACTCCCACCACCCAGGCAGACATGGAGGAGCAATAACTCCCACCACCACCCAGGCAGACATGGAGGAGCAGTAACTCCCACCACCACCACCCAGGCAGATATGTAATAACAGGACTCTACTGCGACGGCGACATCCCTGACAGGGCCCCTCCCACTTTCCCGGCTCCGAGCACTCTGATTGGAGGAGGGAGCGGAGGGCTTTACTCGCTGTCTCCGCACGGTTTGCTTCCGGTATCACATCCTCCGAACATGGCAGCCGCCGGGTTGTGCTCTATCTTAGCCACAGGTAACGCCAGCTTCAGCCCGCGGTGTGTGCACCTCCCGGTCACTATAGTCCTCTCACCGTCACAGCGAGGACTAGGCGCCGCATCGCTTTATCCCTGTTGACACTCCCCTGCTTCTCGCTCCTTGCTCAGCGTGTTCGGATGCCGTGCACATTATGCCCACCTCCCCCAGCATCATCCTGAGCTACATTGTTACTTTATTCTGTGTGAACTCCCCTTGTTATAGTGATACAGGAAGAGGGGGCAGCGTGCCCCTTACACTGATAACACGATGTCACATTTCTTTTACAGCAGCTTCATTGTTTCTTCTGGTGCCCACTCCAGTAACTGCATTTGTGGAGGATTTGGATGACTCGTAAGTACAGACTCAGACTCTGCTCATGTTTCTTATTTGAGAGTCAGTGGCCTTATAGTGACAGCTCAGCAGTGGTGGCAACAACTATTGTGGTTGTATTTACCTTGTTTAACCCTTTAAGGATACATGACATGTGTGACATGTCATGATTCCCTTTTATTCCAGAAATTTGGTCATTAAGGGGTTAACCGGGCGGGAGGGGTACCCTGAGGGTGGGGGCACCCTCAGGGCACTATAGTGCCAGGAAAACGAGTATGTTTTCCTGGCACCATAGTGGTCCTTTAAAATTAAGTTAGTGGTTATGGTGTAGTATTTACGGTAGCAGGAGTGCCCTGGTGCTTTCTCCCAGTTAGATGACAACTTACTTGGGTCCTGCCGGATGAAAAGAAAAGCCAAGCTACTCTTGCGCAACGAAGGACAATGCCCTCGTTGAGAGCACTCCGCAAATGGGTGCAGTCCTGCTTTTGCTCTTCAGAGGCATTCAGCTTTTTGTGCTGGAGAAGACCAGATGTGGCACAAATGGACAGCAGGACCAAAGTAAGTTGTCATACTGTGTGAATATGCATTCTTGCATTCCAAGCACCATAATCATTACAAATTACTCAATTTAGCCTATCTTTCTGTAAAAAAAAAAAAAAAAATCACACTGGAACAAGTATAAGTTTCAATGAACACTACTGCAAACATGTTGTTTAGCATACAGTACCTGTTTAGTTCCCTTAACTCCTTCTTGGGTTCACGTGGGTTATCTCCTCTAAGAAAAAATCATTAATATTTCAAATCTAAGCACTCCATTGAGGGAAGCAATGGCATGAGTAATAAAAAATATCAAGACATAAAAGCTATACACAATTCACAAATATACGGACTGTGTCCCTCGTCCCGTGGAGACCTGCATGTCATCTTGTTCTAGATCTGGACTGTTCTTATGGGTGTCAGTCTGATGTGCAAATGGAGTCTCTCTTTGATGGTACAAGTGAACTAAAATTAGTTTTAGGAGTCAATAATAGAAACTAACCATATTACATGTAGTGTATACAGATAATGTATGTAGCTTATATGGAATAATTATTTTCATGTACTCTTCTTCATAAGCATAATTATTGTTCCATACTGCATATTTTATTTAGATTACCTTAAAATAAAAATCCAAGCACCATAACCACTAAAGGTGCTGTGGTTATGGGTCTAGGAGTAGCCTGACGCCCTGCCATGTAAGTAATCAAACTGTTTTTAGAACGGTATGACGACTTACCTGGGATCCACTAGGTACTGTTCCCTCTTTTCACATCTTCAGACAGAGACTCCAGTTGTTGCCTAGATGCTTCAATTAGCTCCCCTAGACAAAGTTCTGCAATGAAGGACTAGCTTAACTAGCGAAACTTCTCTTGCTTGCCCTTCGGTTAGTCTTCTGAATGTTTTTGTTCACTTACAAAGAGAACCTATAATGTTTGCATATTAGAGTGACCTCCACCAGCCCCCCAAAAAGGGCAATCCTGATCTGAAAGGTTGGCAAGTTTTGTTTGCATGAAAGATACAGCAACCCCTGACGATCGTATTGGCCTTCATTGGGCCTCATTTGAGAGGTGTAGCTGATACCCCTCTAGACACAGCACGGGGTCCACATCTGGTTTACCTTTTTAATTTGGGAAAAAATCCAAGTAATTGCATTGCAAAAAAAAATGAATGAGAACTTAGATAAACTTCAATAGCAATTCCATATAGAGAAACAGATTAAATGTTCAATAAATCTGTATTCATGTAAAGATTAATTCTTTAAAATAAAAAACATACTGACATCAGAAAAAAATTAGTGTGACGGGTCCACTGTGCCGCAACTGAGCACACCCGTCCGAACAGCTTCTTCCCACAGCCAAACCACAGATGTCAGCCCGTTCACGGAGACTCAGTCAGCTAACACCTTTCCCCCAAGAACAGCAGACACACACAACTTGAGGGTAGAACAGAAAACAATTTTTTCTTAGCCACACCCGAGTATTTGTATACAAGTGAAATCATTAGTAAACACACAAAGGTTTGGAACAGCAACCAATCAAACTGGGCCTAAACAAATAGCCAATCACACTAAGCCCATTAATAACCAATAGGACACCATCACAGAACAACTACTTTACATACACAGGAAAATAATTATCTTGTCTCTCCATGTTGTGGCTAGGACTAAGTCTGTGCGGTCTAAATGGCCGCTCCTCACCAGAGCTCATCCAAACAAAGGAGACCTTGATGCCCAAGTGACGGCGTACCAGTATTCCGTCACAACTATTATGTTTGTTTGTTCATAGGCCTACGATTCGTACAGGGCTATTCACTAAAATTGAATTTTTGATCAAACATTGCTCAGCTGGCATTTTTCGTAATGTTCCATTTAGGCCTAACACTTGCAATTTGTTGATGAATTCACAATTCAGTTTAGTGAATTACCCTGTATATGCTTTCTTGTGCATGTTTCTAACATTCCAGCTTTGCAAAACTGTATTAAAAAAACAAACCCTTTTAGTTTTTTAGATGATGCTTGTCCTTTCTTTATTCCATATATGTAGCTGTTATTTTTAGGTTTAAAGTGTCTAACGGCTGAACAAGCACAATGCTTTAAAATGACTTTATCAAAGCAATGGGACTTTTCAGGCAGGGATTAGAAATCTTTGTGGTCCACTGACTTTGCCATCTGATAACTGACAAAGTGAAGCCCATGTTAGTAGTACTTTAATAGTAATTGTGATGCGAGTAAATGTTTTTAATGTTATCTGGTGCAACTGGTGATTGACTATGCAGAATTGGGGTGCAGTCCATCTACCATAAAGTATACCAATATATAAAACAGAAGTCATGGTCTGTGAGGGCTTAATGTTTTGCTAAATTAACTATACGTGTATTTTAAACCAAATGTAATACTTGAATAAGTATTAACATTCTTGGCAGTTTCTACTAACTACAGTATTCCAACCTGGAATTACATTGTATCTACTTAAAGGACCACTCTAGGCACCCAGACCACTTCAGCTTTATGAAGTGGTCTGGGTGCCAGGTACCTCTAGGATTAACCCTTTTTTTTTTTTATAAACATAGCAGTTTCAGAGAAACTGCAATGTTTATACTGAGGGTTAATCCAGCCTCCAGAGCCTCTAGTGGCTGTCTCATTGACAGCCGCTAGAGGCGCTTGCGTGCTTCTCACTGTGAAAATCACAGTGAGAGCACGCAAGCGTCCATAGGAAAGCATTGTAAATGCTTTCCTATGCGACCGTCTGAATGCGCGCGCGGCTCCTGTCGCGCATTGCCATTCAGCCGATGACGTCGCGAGCAAGGAGGAGTACAGCTCCCCGCCCGGCGCTGGAGAAAGGTAAGTGTTTAACCCCTTCCTCTCTCCAGAGCCCGGCGGGAGGGGGTCCCTAGGGTGGGGGCACCCTCAGGGCACTATAGTGCCAGGAAAACGAGTATGTTTTCCTGGCACTATAGTAGTCCTTTAATTGATTTACATGCATACATAACCAGAGATGTGATTTTAAATCTACTTGTCCAAGGGATTAAAGCAGTGGCCCAATCTACTTGTCTATCATGACAACCTACTTGTCTTGACACAAAATTAATTCCATTTACAAATATTGCTGAGAGCCCTGCACATTTACTATTTGCTTATCTCTGAACTTCCTCATATTAAATCTGAATGGAAAAATGGAGGCAACAATAGCTGATTGGGAATGCTTCTCTAACTCTACTATAGTCACCACGTGGCAATTTTTGCCTGAGTTTAGCAATTTGGATTTATTTTGTGAAAGTTTGGAATTTAGTGATTTACCCTGAGCTTCTCACAGTCTGCTCTCCCAGAGCCTCTTTCTTTGTCATAGAGTGTGTGGTTGTGTACTGGCTGTGTGTCGTGTGTGCTAGCTAAATGTAGTGTGTATTGGTTATATGTAATGCATTTGTGTTGTGAGTGTGTGTGCTGATTGTATGTGATATTTGTGTATAATTTAATTTAAGAAAAATCATGAGCTTTTCCAGTCAGTCTAATGCAACCCATTGTACAGCGCTACGGAATCTGATGGCGCCATATAACTAATATAATAATAATAATGATACCTGTTTATGTGATTTCGATTTGAGAAAGCCAGAGGAGAGGGCGAAATGCGTCTCGGAGAATTTACCCAGCATTTAATGGACATTGATTTTATTGTTTTATAAGTCTTATGTGTATTTTTAATACTTAATTATTTTTTATAAATTTGATCTTTGGATCATTACTAGTCCATTTGCTGCTATCTTCACCCTGCTGCTAACTGCTTTGAAAGAAGGTTTTACCCCCCTTTAGTGGGTTACAAGCTGTTCCAACATGAGCCAGGTATTCACAATTGGCTCTATAAAATGTGAGCAATATATCATTTGACACCAAATTTGTATCTATATCTTGGTTAAAACATACTACATTAGAGAGAGATCTCCTCTTCGTTTCTCCCCAAGTGTTTAAGAAAAGAAAACAGAAAGAGGGAAGGTGTCTCCATGTGTACACCAAAGCGCTTGAGATTTGTGCCAGTCCTACACTTGGCTCTATACTTGTGAGTTTGTTTCTTACATTTAAGGATCTATACATCAGTTTTGATATACAGTACTGCACTATTGTATTTTCTCATCTTTGTTTCATATATTTAATCTCCGTTTGGGATACACAATACCCCTGGGTTGTAGGAGTAAGTATTATTTTAGCGCTCCACTTTAGGGAGTTTTTTTCAAGTGGATTGGTTTTTATCACCCTTTCTTAATTCTCCTATCTACACTCTGTATACCTGTTTATGTACTGCTAGTATATATGGTGGGAAGTTTTGGACTTCTAATACCATGCCTTCCCTCTGAACTCAAGACTTCTGGGTTGTGAGGTTCGCTGTCTGAGTCCTGCATAGCATGCAGCTAAAATGCCTACCTTTCACCCAACTGAGACTTTCCTGGCATTTAGTGAGTCTGTGCACGCTAGAAATAATGACACACTCTAACTGGAGAGCACTAACACTGCAGAGGTGCATTCCTCCCTGCTCGGGTACCAACCCCTCCAAATCAGCCCTGCTGCTTGCCTTAGTGAGGGATAATAGAATCAAAAAAATCTCCTGTCTTGTGACTGGGACTGCATTTCCCAGTCAATATAAGTTCCACATACAGCCTGGCATAACACATTTACATAAATAACACTTTGAGTGCAAAATATTTTTTTAATTTTTTTTTTTTTTTTTTTTTAATTTTATAAAACATTTTTTATTACTACATTTCTTTTCAAGTCAGTTTTATGAATGAGGATTCGATGATTCTGCAAGAGCCTCCCACTTTCGAAATTTTTAGAAATAGGGCCGAGAGATAGTGAGATTCGGAGCTGGAACACATACTTTGGGATTACAGAGTTTGATAATGTTTTGGCTAGCACCAGGGTCCTCTTGGCACCATAACAACTTCATTTTGATGAAGCTGTTATGGTGTTCGGCGTGTTCCTTTGGAAAGGAAAGTGTTAAGTTACAGTCGAACAAACATAGCAAAAAGGCCTCTGTCACAAAATGAGAGCTTGTGGGAAAAGGTTCAGTCATGCAGGAATTAAATGATCTATCTATCCATGCGGCAGTGGTTTACAGTCTAAGCATCTAAACTGCTGCATATTAAATTGTTACTAAAAGCACCATGACCACTTCAGTGATTTTGAAGTAGTCATTGGGCTTGGAGTTTGTATGTGCAATACTTGCTATGAAACCTTGAGCTTAGCCCACAAGTTCTGGGCTGGATTATATCAATTTTGTGCATTATTCTTGAACAGAGTTTAATTCATTAGCAGAAAGCACTCACCTGATGCTCTCAGCCAATGAATGGTTGATTAAATTGGCATCGGGATTCTGTAGGTCAGCAGAACCTGGATTTGCATCACCTGGCAGAACAGGAGCCTCGGCACATAGCAGGTACCCAAGTAAGAAGACAACTTTTGCATAATGATTAGCCCCATTACCTAGTAATGGTGCTAGTACGCTGTAGTGGTTATGATGCTTGCAGTAACCATTTAATGTATTTGTTTTGGTGCAATATTACGTACTAATTTTGGTTCAGTATCCAGTCCATGCAGTCTGATGGAGAAAAGCAATGCCATGTTGAGATAAAGCACTATTTACATTGTTCCTTCAGTCTGTGAACTGTTTACAGTTTTTCTGTGAAGTATCAGTTTGGAGGCATGTGCAGTAGCCTCACACGTGCTGTATGTCCTCCATGCTTTTCTAATGAGTCATTCAGTTTGACATCAGAGTAGGTGGATTGGTCTGCTGGGAACAGACTGTCTTGGCACTCGAATGCTTGTAAGTGTTTATTATTTATTTATTAAAGCAAGCCATCGTTAGCCCAACCGCTAACTCCCAAAAGGGATTCTCCAGTACAAGGCATGTTGGAAGACCACATTAATTTAGCTGTAATCAAATTAGGCCACATTCAAAAAACGTCAATTAGATATACTTAAATATTTACATTATTTTGGGGTGGGGCTTGACTGGCATGGTGAGTGGTTGCATACAGCATGAGCCCCTGGAGATTTATCACAATATAACCTTTTAAGCTAATGTTTTTGTTCCATAAATCAGACTCCTGATGACCCTGCTGTTGTACTGCACTCCTGGGGCTACTAATCTGTGCTTTTGGCACCACTTCATCTGGTCAGCAAACGGTAGGGCTTGTTGTGACCTACCAAGCAAACGAGAGTGAGGGAGGTGGCCGATCCCTCTACCCAGAATCTACTAAGAACACCCTCGATTTCCCCTCCCCTCTCCGCCGGTGAGGGATATCCTGGCACCCTAAGCTACATCTTTAACCTTGGGACTTGTGCACACCCCAAATCTGACAGGGCTCATTGTAGGCATCTAACATGGCGACGGAGCTTGACTCTGTGGGGCCTAGATGGGGTCTAGCATTCAACGACATCTGTGAAGCCTCTTGGTAGTGGTTAAGACTCCGTGCAGAAGCCGCGGCACCTCCCATCTTGCTAAACAAAACGTGAAGGCAGCCAAAGCCACTCCTAGTTACCTCTCGCTGGAACACCCCGCTCTGCAGCAACATCCATCTGGTCTTTCTGGCATGAGGATTGCTGGGAGATGGGATCTCCGAGGCAACCAACGCTTCTGCGACCTAAAGAGGAGACGGAAAAGGCAGCTGCGAAGCATGTAGCAGTGCCGCTCCCCATTCTGGTCCAGGGCCCCGACCTTCCAGGGAAATGCTTCAAGGCAAATCTGTCTTTCTGCAAGAGCTGACTGGGGCACACTTAGTCTGTCCTGCCGACGCATTCGGATGCAACTCCCCGCTGCACCTCTCGTAATACTCACAAAGCTGGCCTCAAGGAGAGGCATTGGCTAAGGGACTAGCCAAATCTAGAGCTCCCCACTTGAGCAACAATATGCAACACTTCCACCTCATCCAAGGTTTCTTATGTGTGTGATATGCCATACCTCTATCTTTTTCCTTAACGCACATGCTTAAGTGCCAGTGCACAACCCCAGTGTATCAGCTTTACTATATATAATTTACTCCTGTTACCCTAGAAACCAGTTCATAAGCTTTGTTTTATATCAGTGCATTTCTGCTTTTACTCTGTTAGCACTGTGTTTTACTAGCTCTCTTAACAAACAAAAAAAGTTCAGTTTATTGTTTGATTTTTGATATTTTGCAAATGTCCTTGATATATCTATGCACGTCAAAAATAAAGAATACATTTTTTTTTTAAATGTATTTATTTTGTAAAAATCTATTTCTAAAGTTTAACTAACCATTTAATGACTTTGTTGTGTCTGCATTTTGTTGGAAAGCATTTGAATATTTGGTTGCGGCATGGAGGTCCTCAGCTTCAGTTGATACTCTAAGATGGGTATCAGTCATTTGTGACCTTAAGGGCGTATTGATTTGGGTTAGGTAGGAGAATGTAGATTTGCAGCAATAAGTGATTGAAAAGCAAGAAAACATTTTTTTGGGCATGTAGCCGATAACGTGGGTCTTCTACTGCATTTTTCCATATTTCAATTGGATTTTTTTTTTTGCATCAAACAATGTGCTGGTCTCACGTATGCTCCCAGCCTGCATCACATTTCTATACCTGTCAGGAGGGCTAGCACGCATGTGCAACACAGGTAAACGCTGATCTGCATCACCAGATGTGATGTGGGTAAAGATTTCTCACATGGTAGAGCAATCTGATAGAACACTGGTCAATCTGGGAGGATTATTTTGTTGAAATTTATTTTATTCTTTGGTATTTTAAATCAGGTCTTGACAAATTTGTTTAAAATGTAGGAGCCAGCTAAAAAAGTTGGGATCCAGTTTTTTTCATCTGGAAAATTGCAAATCTTAAGGGGACATTAAGAATTAATGTAGCTTAATGTAGTTGTTCTGGTGTCTGTAGCCTGGTAGAGAAAAGACAGTGTTTACATTACTCCCTAGTAACACCTCCAGTGGCAGTCACTGAGACGGCCACTAGAGTCCTGGGTCAGCGTTCTGCATGGAGGCACTAAATGATCCCCATAAAGGATCATTGATTGTCTCTAAAAGATGTGCATGCGCGCACCCCTCCTCCTCCCCCCCCCCAAACACACACACAAGTTTATATTTTTATTTCAATTTGAGTCCACCTTGCCTCCCTACGTTTGGAAGAGCTGGAGTGGATGCTTCACCTGGGATCCATTCGGGCTGCTCTCTAATCTTTCTGCAGTTCTTATCTGCTCCCTTGCGTGCTCTCTGCAGTGATGCTGGGGCCAGACTGACATAATTAGTCTCCTGGCATCACTAAACCACGCGCGATGGAGCAGAGCAGAACTGCAGGAAGATTACTGCTCCCTCGCTCGCCACCCCGTGCTGCTGGCATCAATGCTCCGCGGGCGGTCACGTTACCCAAAAAGGCTGACAAATCCCAGGCGCCAGGGTTACATTTTGAGTCGCCATGGCAACCTGGCGCCTTGGTTTTATCGAGCCTTGTGTTAAATCTTTTATATTTTTAAAATGAACAAAATGTATTAATAAAGGATTTGTACAATTTGGATTGTCAAAAGGCTGCACTTAAAGGACCACTATAGTGCCAGGAAAACATACTCGTTTTCCTGGCACTATAGTGCCCTGAGGGTGCCCCCACCCTCAGGGTCCCCCTTCCGCCCGGCTCTGGAAGGGGGAAAGGGGTAAAAACTTACCTTTTTCCAGCGCTGGGCGGAGAGCTCTCTGCTCCTCTCCTCCCTCCGCCCCGTCTGAATGCGCACGCGTGCAAGGCTGCGCGCGCATTCAGCCGGTCGCATAGGGCATTTACAATGCTTTCCTATGGGCGCTCTCTCTCTGTGAAAATCACAATGAGAAGCACGCAAGCGCCTCTAGTGGCTGTCAATGAGACAGCCACTAGAGGATTAGGGGGAAGGCTTAACCCATTCATAATTATAGCAGTTTCTCTGAAACTGCTATAATTATGAAAAAAATGGGTTAACCCTAGAAGGACCTGGCACCCAGACCACTTCATTAAGCTGAAGTGGTCTGGGTGCCTAGAGTGGTCCTTTAATGACAGGCTACATGTGACATGTGGTAGTCTGCAGGTTCTCCACTCCCTACTCCAGTATCGAACAATAATAAATTCCTGCTGTTAAAAAAACAAAAAACCCCCCCACAAATTTCAGTCATTAGCAATGCTGTGCCACAGAAATCCCAACTTGTGCTTTTACGCTAGATGCTGCTTTGTGAGCTGTAACAGACTGAACAGGTTAACATCTCAAGGGACCTGTTCACTAAACAATGCATTGCAGAATGTTGGGTCATGCTAATCAGGCAGTGATGTTGCACTTGCATAATACTTGTGAACTGACAAATAGAACTAGTCAAATAGACCAATCAGCTTACACAATGTTTAGCAATAAATAGCAAAATTCAAACCAACATAATGAGGGCAGGTAATCTAGCAACTAAATAGAATACACATTTGAAGTAATAAAACCACCAAAAAACAAATGTAAATGCCATATGATGATGGATGGCAGAACATGTGTCTGGTTATGGTTGTCACACTAGCCTAGATCTCTCTCTCCTGAAACAAACCTCCGGGCTCTCATTAGACTTAAAGCAAATCTGTTACTGTGCAGGTTTATTTATTTATATTTTTTTGGTACCTCTATGTCTTTGTTTTCCAGTAATGTTCGAGTGCTTTTATTATTTTTTTTTTTTATTCTACTGTGCTTTTGACTATTGGCTTGTACCTGGACTATTCTGACTTCTATTTTACTTGACCTTTGGCTTGTCTTACTGTACTGTAGTCCTGCCCTCGGCCTGTCCTGTTTATGCAAGATTTTATGTTAAATCCAACCATTCTAAGGTCCGGTAATACGGTTTAGGTTTTCTGGTGTTCTATTGTTTGGTTATCTAAGTTCTGCGTGTTGGATATTAGACTATTCTGACAGTCATGTGCTAAATGAAAATTACATTTATATCAGTTATTTTGGAAGTTTTGATTTGTGATCTTATCAGAGAGCTATCTTGGCTTCCAAAGCAACCAATAGGCATTGAGGAACAGATCAAGAAGAGGCATAAAGATTATTGTCCTGATGGAGTAGTATTGGCAGGAAGGGTATTAAAAAAGGAGGCCAAAATTGAATCATATAATTTAACAAATGGATGACACGAGAACACACAGATTGCCCAACCCAAAAATGTATGTATATAAGCAGCTAAACATGTATCGTGTCAATTAAAATATATATATGAAATTACAAAACTGCAAATTCCTAAGACTGTGATAAGAGCTTTCAAAGGAGCCAAGTGGACATCAAAATTATAGACGTGGTACTGCATTCTACTGCGTGTTCGATAGGGATATACCTTTTAAGTATCATTAATACCCAAATCAATCTGTAAGCATATTGTTGATAGATGTGTGTATTATTTTAATTATAAACTAAGGCAGCATTAATCACACAGACTAAAGTAATTAAAAAAATAATTGGGTGTATAGCCCTTGAAGTCTTCATTAAATATAAAGCAATGTGAATATCGCCTTTTAGAGTCTGTTCTGTACAGTGACTAAGCAAATGTATCTAAACACAAAATTATCCAATGATTAAAGTAGATGAAACATACTTAGAAAAATTAGCAGCTGTCTGCAATAGAAGATTAGTAAAACTAAGAGTGTGTAAAGTTTTGAATGCTCAGTACAGGCATCTACCACTCTTTATAAATAAAAGGAGAACAAAACAAAATACCAGAGTGTCGGTGTGAAAATAACATATTCCAAGTTTCTGATAACCCACATGTAACACTTTGGATAAAGTGTTGCGTGCTGTAACTTTGTAAGACGACAGGTAGGTAGTGCCATGAGGTAAGTAACTTACACAACTTCCAACACCAGTATATAGAAAATGAAATGCTAAAGAGACTGAAATAGGAAATGAAAACCAACAGTCTAACTTTTATGGCCTGAGTGTGGCTTTCAAGTGTCGTGACCTCCGCCCTTAACGCTGAAATTTTTTACCTAATTGCTTCATGCAGATTATCAGATACCTGCTGCAAATCTATCTTGGTGACACTTAAGGAGGTTGGTGCCTTGAGATCCACACTGATCTCAGCTAAAGTATAGCGTCCCGGGTCAGAAGATGGCGAGGGTGATTGGGAGTCTGTCAGTTCAAGGCGCAGGTTCTCACATGGCAGTCTCAGAAAAGACTATACAAACCCTTTTATCGGGCCAGTTTGTGAACCACCTATGCCCCTCTTTTGTGTCGGAGGATGGTCAGGGTGCTTGGTTTACCCCATTTGGCATTAGCTGCTGTTTAAAGTGCAAGAATATAGTGCTGGCTGTAATTTATAGAATTCAACGATGTGGAATGGAGCACACAGCCTAGGCGTCCATCTATAAAAAAATAATTTGCTTCTGTGATGTTAAAATACAGAATAAAATAATGGTACATTGTGCTTTGAAAGGCGAATTTCACCCTGATGATTTATATATAAATTTATATATAACCATGGACGCCGCTAACAAATCAGGGAAGTACCAAGACACTGAACGTGTCATTCACTTTTATTTTTAGCTTACTAGAGCTGAGCATTCTATACCATATATACCAGGTTGTTTTCCAGTATTTAGTTTTGGACCTACTTTGTCTAGTTGAAATTTCGTATTTTAGTTGAATATTGGTTGGTCGTAACCAGACTGCTTCTGATATGGAGTGGCCTAATTCCTTCTCCAAAGCTTTGGAGAAGCGATCTATTTATAGCTGATTATAGACCATAGATATTGGTTTCTCCCTCAGTAATTGAGCTACGCATAACTTCTCGAAATTGGTCAGCGGTTTCCCATTCACAATAAAGGATTGTAGTTTCAAAAAATTCAGTATCCAAGATCATAATTGAATATAAGGAAATCTTGAAGTACTGGGCGAACGTATACTTTGTTTCCAATTGTGAAAACGATAAGTTTATTTTAACTAAGAAAATATATAAATTATCTAACCCAAGTCCAAAAATTTTAAAATCGGGAATCCTAATCTTCAAAAACTTTAATGGGATAGCTTAAGAAACTGGATGGCGGCTGCACAGAAGATCCCTATATTTATCCCAGTTAGACATTGTCAATCTAGTAGTTGGTAAAGAATCAGAGGTTTTAAGTCTATTCATTGCCAATCATACTCAAGCCTCAAGACCAGGAAGCTTCTAAGTATGTCCACTATGGTATATTAGGTACTTGGTGAGCATATACTATACTGGATAAAATCGCAAGTATATAGCAAGTATAATAGTAGGTATGAGCATTTGGAAGGTTCCTACCCCCCACGTGTCTTTCCCTGTATAATGTATTTATTGTTATACGAGGGCATCTACCATTTCACACACTTTTTTTTTTTTTTTAATAGATTCTTGAAGTGATTTAAAAAATAATCCATTCCAATTTTAACACCTCATATGTTATGATTAGATCTCATGGCTAGAGGTTTCAAGGCTTATATATATAATAAGGGGGAAAGAGGACAACCCTGTCACATCCTGGTTGTGATTACATACGTTCAGGCAAAAAACCTGCATTAAATACTTGAGCGGATGAATTGCTACATAATGCCTAATAAAGAAATTGTGGAGGAAATGTAAAAATTTTCAAACACACTATGTAAAAATTGCCATTTCAATATGATGCATTATAAAGGGTGTTTGGCTATTTTTGCTTAAAATTTGAAATTCACTTAGAATTACCAGCAATTCTAACTTTAGTGAATAACCTTGTTAATGTAGCCTTTCATTTGTTTGCATTAGCTTTTTCATTTCTTTTGCTCTGTCAGTGCCACACAATTGTAAGCTCCATCTTGTGTCCCGCCTGCTTTCTGATTTTCATATGGTCAGTCTTGTGTGCTGTGACATACTTTGGGACATAGCATTGCATTTTTGTCAAATTTTTAACTCACAAATAGATGAGCCGACTTGTTTCTCAATAAGGGTCGGGCAGAAAAAATATTCAAACTCATAGAATGCATGAAGTTTTAGTTTGGAGTTTGGAATGTGACCATTTTGAAAGCTTATTATAGATAGTTAAGTGAAACAAATCATATTATATCATGTAATGCTCGACTCCTCTTTTTACTTTTCTTTTTAGGTTCAAGGAAAATCGAAAAGACGACATCTGGCTTGTTGATGTAAGTATTTTAAAATGCCTTACGTGCAAGATTATTCTTTGAATTGATAATTCCCAGGAATGATTATAATTATTATTATTTTATTATCTATATAGCTTCAGCAAATTCCATAGCGCTGTACAATGGGTGGACTAACAGACACGACAAGTTGGATGCATAAGAACAGAGGGGCTGAGGGCCCTGCTCAATGATCTTACATTAATGCAAAGTAAATTTCAAATTCAAGTTCAAGATAGTTGAACTGGATTCAGTGCTGTCTTGGAGATTATTTTCAGTTCAGCTATTTTGACCTTTGGCTTGAAATTCACATTGAACTTTTAACATTTCTTGTCAGTGTGTCCTTTATTTTTATATTCAGTGATTGCTACCAGTATTACATGTTTGAAATGTGTTTTTTTTTATTGCAGTAAACCCAGTGGTTGACTCAAGGTGTAATCTAAGAAGCCTAGCATCTGCATGTTGTTTCAGTTATGATGCCAGTAGGCTGCCGGCAACTTATCCTGGTTCTGCGACAATTTTGAGCAGTTTAACCAGTGCCTCGGTCACTGAGGCATATGTCAGTGCCCTCATTAACTGAATTGTTAATACAGAAGTTATACTTCCAAATTGGCAATTCCAATTTTGTCCATATTTGGGCAACATTGATAAATAGTACATGTCCGCTGACAAACTTGACCCATCACAAACAGCAGTGATAGGCTGAACATTTCAGCTGACATGCTCTGCAAATCAATGATGTCCATTATGGATGTCCATTATGAATGAAATTGATATTGAACAACTTCTTACAAATATGCAAGTAGGACCTGGGCAGCAGGAAAGTGGAAACATCCGGTTTTGGTCATACTACTCAAACTGTTTGATCCAGAATCGTTGCCTATAGCCATTAGCCCCATAATCACTACAACTGCATGTAGTGGTTATAGTGATTAAACACAACTCTGTCTATCTTGACAGCCACGAGGCATGCTTCTGCTGCAATTACATAGTTAGATGCCGTTATTCAAGCAGTGCTTGCCATAGAGAGCATGTGCACTAACCTCCCAGAGTTTTCCTATTGGGAAGCATTGCATTGGCTGAGATCATCAAGATTGATAATCTCGCCCAAGGAGGCAAAACAAGTGTACCATAGGACATAAGGTAATCAAACCTTACAGTATAAACCTTTTTTAAACCCTTACATACATGTTTGTATTCCTAATGCTCTAGTTCTCTTTTAACCCTTTTGTGTTAATTACAGCAAATATTTTGAATACAAGCAACATATGCATTGTATTGATATTATGTGGTGCCTCAGAAATACCAGATAGCTTCTTTTTATGGAACGGTACTATAGTCTGTCTGAAAGTCTTCCAGTTATCATATATAGGGTCCTCAATGGGCTCAATCCTGAACCAAGACAACGTAAAAGTTGCATTCATCTGGCACTATAAACTGGTGACACTACAAGAAGTGTTCTCGTGCCATCATTCCTGATTTTGTTATATATTTGTAAGAGAAAATAATTTAAGCTTAAACTGCTTGGCTAAACCGTTTTACTTATATGGCAATGTGCTATAGTTTATGATGTTCTCTGAACTCTGTTCCAGATATTTGCACTTGTTTGCTGATGCACCATTTAATGCAAATTATGGAAAATACAAATGATACCTTTTTATCAGGAATTATTTCTACTTCTCATGTACCAATCTTATGGAATTTCCAACCATAAAGGACATATTCTCACAGAAGGGTAGTTTTTAATACAATGCAAGTGGAAATCATTCTTTGGTCCATCTTTAAAGTGAACCTGGCTTGACCGTTGACGTTATAACCGCTCCTTACTATAAAATACAATTGATATGCTTACTTTGTGAATTGTTATATTTTTATGTATTTTCTAGCTTTCGTGATAATGTATTAGATGAAATTTTAATGCTATATAATATAAGGCTTCTCGAGGGCTGCACCGTTCCTGTGGAACTCGCTTCCCTCCTCCGTTAGATGCTCACCCAGTCTCCACTTCTTCAAAAAATCGTTAAAAACCCACTTCTTCATAAAAGCGTATGAATTAAACTGTTAATAGCTCCTGACTGATTCCTCTTCTGCAACTGTCACTAGTCTAATACTATCCTTACCTTTTTGTGTCATTTTACCCCACTCCCTCTAGCATGTAGGCTCATTGAGCAGGGCCCTCAAACCCTCTGTTCCTGTGTGTCCAACTTGTCTGATTACAACTACATGTCTGTTCGTCCACCCATTGTAAAGCGCTGCAGAATTTGACGGCGCTCTATACATAGAAACACAGAATGTGACGGCAGATAAGAACCATTCGGCCCATCTAGTCTGCCCAATTTTCTAAATACTTTCATTAGTCCCTGGCCTTATCTTATAGTTAGGATAGCCTTATGCCTATCCCATGCATGCTTAAACTCCTTACTGTGTTAACCTCTACCACTTCAGCTGGAAGGCTATTCCATGCATCCACTACCCTCTCAGTAAAGTAATACTTCCTGATATTATTTTTAAACCTTTGTCCCTCTAATTTAAGACTATGTCCTCTTGTTGTGGTAGTTTTTCTTCTTTTAAATATAGTCTCCTCCTTTACTGTGTTGATTCCCTTTATATATTTAAATGTTTCTGTCATATCCCCCCTGTCTCGTCTTTCCTCCAAGCTATACATGTTAAGATCCTTTAACCTTTCCTGGTAAGTGTTATCCCGCAATCCATGAACCAGTTTAGTAGCCCTTATCTGAACCCTCTCTAAGGTATCAATATCCTTCTGAAGATACGGTCTCCAGTACTGTGTACAATACTCCAAGTGAGGTCTCACCAGTGTTCTGTACAATGGCATGAGCACTTCCCTCTTTCTACTGCTAATACCTCTCCCTATACAACCAACCATTCTGCTAGCATTTCCTTCTGCTCTATTACATTGTCTGCCTACCTTTAAGTCATCAGAAATAATCACCCCTAAATCCCTTTCCTCATATGTTGAGGTTAGAACTCTATCAAATATTCTGTACTCTGCCCTTGGGTTTTTACGTCCAAGATGCATTATCTTGCACTTATCCACATTAAAATGTCAGTTGCCACAATTCTGACCATTTTTCTAGTTTACCTAAATCATTTGTCATTTGGCTTATCCCTCCTGGAACATCAACCCTGTTACATATCTTAGTATCATCAGCAAAAAGACATACCTTACCATCAAGACTTTCTGCAATATCACTAATAAAAATATTACATATAATAATAATAATAATAATAAGGCAAGTTGTGTGTACCATGACTGGTAGACATTTAATATATTGTATTATTCACTACAGTAAATTGGATAGTATGTGTAAACACAAGAAACCAATACATTTAGCCTTTTGCACTGTGATTTTTGTACAAATCGTTCACTTTCAGACTATCTTTCTATAGACTAAATCTTTACAACCAGCTTTAAATCACAACTTACAAACAAGATACTTATTGGTATTATATACACTCCAGACTTAGTCGGAGTCTACAACAGATTTTCAGATACCAAAAATCTCTGTTGGCAGGTTACTGAAAGGGACAATATAGTCACCAGAACAACTACAGCTTAATGTAGTTCTGGTGAGTATAATAGCTCCCTTCAGGCATTTTCATGTAAACACTGCCTTTTCATAGGGACACCTCCAAGTGGACACTCCTTAGATGGCCGCTGGAGGGGCTTCCTGGCTCAGGGCTGCACAGTAAGTATCCCTGCCGTTCAGCATTCCCATGCTCTGCATGGTGACGCTGTATTTTCCCCATAGAAATGCATTGATTCAGTGCATCTCTATGAGGAGGTCCTGATTGGCCAAAATAGTATTTGGCCCCGCCCAGTGCTGATTTTAGCCAATCCAATGCTTTCCCAATGGGAAAGCATTGGGTTGGCTAAAAATCTGCCGTTTTGATGGTCACAAAGGGGGCGATGCCAGTGCCTGCGGACCTATGTGGCGCTGGAAATAAGTTTTTAAACTTTTATAAGGAATACATGTTTGTGTTTCTGAACCTATAGTGATCCTTTTAAAGTAGTAAGCTAAACACCATAACCACTGCAGTGTACCATAGTGGTTATGGTTATCAGTATTTATTTCCTTTATTCGTCTGTATGCTAAGTAACTGTATGTTTACTCTATGTAACAGTTTTATGCACCATGGTGTGGTCATTGCAAGAAACTCGAGCCTGTTTGGAACGATGTTGGTACTGAAATGAGAACTAGTGGCTCACCCGTGAGAGTGGGAAAGATGGATGCTACTGTACATTCTGGTAAGTGCTGCCCATTAACATTTATGTCTGGGGGAAATCCTTCAACAACTAAATTTGTTCTGCATCTGCCTCTTATAGATGTTTTTTATGTAAACACATGCCTAAAATATGATGTTCCTTGATGTCTGTGCACATTGTATATGTTTTTGGAATGATTTGTTTCTCTCGGGCCATAAACCAGACATTTAGGAGGATTTCTTTCCTTTCAGCATTCACAAATGCCCCCTACCTACCATTGCTTCTCTATGACAAGCTTTGAGTTGGTCGGGAAATCATAACTAGTGATGATCATTGGAGACAGAGAAACCTTCCAACGTTTGAATTGATTGGTTTTTGTTTCTTTGATTGGAGATTTTCTTTAAAGGACCACTATAGTGACAGGAAAACAAACTAGTTTTCCTGGCACTATAGGGTCTTTAGGTCCCCTCACGCCGGGCTCTAGGGTGCTGAAGGGGTTGATCACTTACCTTTCTCCAGCGCCGGGCTCCCTCGGCACTGGGGAACTTTCCTCCCTGTTTTGACGTCGGCACTGAATGCGCATGCATGGCCAGAGCCCTGCGCGCATTCAATCAGTCCCTAGGACATTTCTCAATGCTTTCCTATGGACGTCAGCATCTTCTCACTGTGATTTTCACAGTGAGAAGCGCGGAAGCGCCTCTAGAAGCTGTCAGTGAGACAGCCACTAGAGGCTGGATTAACCCTAATGTAAACATAGCAGTTTCTCTGAAACTGCTATGTTTACAGCTGCAGGGTTAACTCTAGATGGACCTGGCACCCAGACCACTTTATTGAGCTGAAGTGGTCTGGGTGCCTATAGTGGTCCTTTAAGGATAACCTTTTGCTAAATCAAAACCTTCAATCTATGCAGTATGCAACAAACCTGTGCCAGATATATAAAATGTATAGATTTTTTTTGTGTTGCAATGTAGCCTTACTAAAGAGGTTTATAGATTTGCATAGACTTGTTGACATACCTACAGTATGTTACTGAAATATAGAGACAAGAACCAGTGAATGGATGTTTTTCTGGGTGATTAAAAAGAAAACTAGTTTCCTAAACATCTATTTTTTTCCTTCTGCTGTGAAAGTGTAAAGCCCAGCAAGAAAGTTTTTTAATATTTAAAGGGAAAAATAAAACCAAAGGCCTGTTTGTCATTAAGTTACCGTAGCATATCTTAAATTTACATTGTGACAAACTGGCCTACAATGAAGCTTAGAATACAACTTAAAAAATGGATGGGATGGAGTATTAGCTTTTCCTGTGTGTCCTGTGACAAGAACAAAGAACCCCTGGGGATAATTAGCTCAACCTAATTCACATCTCTCAGTCAAGTCTCAGGTCTCCCATTTCACATTGGACAAGTGTTGTGTGCTGTGGTATTTAAGAGAACCTGGGAACTCCAGATTAAAAAAGTGATTCAACAAGTTGCCATCAAGAAAGGTGTTGTCTTGTCTCTTTCTGAGGTCTTGGTATCCATGCAAGTTCAAGTCATGCTGACCCACTAAGAAACCATATTAATTGAAGTGTAACAAGGTAGTTAGTATTAACATACTAACTAGCCGGAACATACAACCACAGTATGTCCTGGGTTGTCTGTGAGTCTGCTACCAAGCAAATGTAACCTTAGGTTTTGCTGATGATACCAAGATATGTAACAGGGTTGATGTCCCAGAAGGGATAGACCAAACGGTAAATGATTTAGGTAAACTAGAAAAAGTCAGAGGTGTGGCAGCTGACTTTTAATGTGGATAAGTGCAAGGTAATGCATCTTGGACGTAAAAACCCAAGGGCAGAGTACAGAATATTTGATAGAGTCCTAACCTCAACATCTGAGGAAAGGAATTTAGGGGTAATTATTTCAGATGACTTATAGGTAGGCAAACAATGTAATAGAGCATATATATATGAAGGGTACTCTGGACATCAAGTGGAAAAGAAATACATTACTAATGGATAAACCCATTCCAGCAACCCCCACGGATAACTACAAAACGTTTACAAAACTATTGGCCTACTCTGTTACAGGACCTTATTCTTGGTCCTACTTTATCCTCCAAACCGACAGTTATTTAAAAAAAAAAAAAAATAGAAATGTCAAAAATATGTTGGCTCCCAGCTACTCCCTGAAATACATATTCAAAATGGTAACCCTACCCATCCAGGAATTTTTAGAGGTTGTTGCTCATGTAAAGCCTGTAATACAGTATCAATTGATAGGATCAGAACTTTTTCAAGTTTCATAACAGGTGATGTGTTTCATATCAAATCGGAGATCAATTGACACACGAACTATGTATTTGCTGCAATGTCCGTGTGGCAAACAGTACATAGGGCGTACAAAAAGAACCTTTAAAATAAGGATACTTTAACATCTCAACAACATTAAAAAGAATCTTAGGACCCACTCTGTTCCAATTCCTTGCAACTCCTGCCCCCTTTATTCATTCAAAAATTTCCGTTGTGCAGGGATTGAAAGAGTCCTACCACACTGGCGTGGAGGGGATAGACTTAACAAGTTAGCACGACGTGAAACCTTTTGGATTCACAAACTTCAAACCCTCGAATCTAAAGGGCTCAATGCGGTCATAGATTTGGGTTGTTTTTTGACCGGACAAACTGTTTAATGTCTGTATATTTCAAACTTGACCCTCTTTAGTCAGGGTTTATCTCCTTTGATTCATTTTTATACTTTGATACAGCAGATATTTACTCAAACATTCGTCTTCTCTTTGAATAAACATTAAATGTTCAAATATCCTTTTGGATTAAATCTTTAATATGTCTTTTCTCAAGATAAGTACTATATGTTTCAAATCTCTAGATATCTATTTTGGACCTAAATTGTCACATTTAACTCATTTCTAAACAACTGGTATGTGTGCTAAACTCCCTTTACAGAGAACTTGTTATAATTTTTGTGGAATATAATATTAATACATCATAACTTGTTTCCATTCATATCTCTAGTGTGTGTCACTTATTCTAATAATGAATTCTACTTTTACACAAAATGGATATTACACTTTTAAATTTTTTTTTATTGTTGACAGAATGAAATTACATAGTTGCGTTATTACAATATTTTAGACATTGTACCGTACACCAAAAGATACAGATCGGAAGCGGGAGTCCTGTACAGTTTTGCACTGTAAAAGGTTTGTTTCCCTTTTTCCCCCCATTCTGTTTTCCCACCTCCCCACTCCCTTCCAGTTTACTTTATTACTTTGCTTTGTTTTGTCTTGCGTTAGGGTGTGTGTGTGTGTGTGTGTCCCAAGGCGTGGTTTTGTGAGTTACGTAGGATAGTGAGGTATAACTTTGAGACTCGCAGGTCTCTGCGTTCCAAATGTGTATGCGGATCTACAGCGTGCTGTGTGTGTAGGTTGATAGGGGGTCTAAATGCGGTTCGTGTGGGACAAGTTTTATGTCCAAGTTCGTCGCGGTAGGTATGCGTTGCCAAGCGGATGCGTTGGCGGACATCGGGCCGTGCGTATGGCTTGTATAAAGTTTAGCTGGGCCTTCCCACTGGTCCGTTTTGTGAGCGTGGTGGTTAGGTGTTGTGTTGAGGAATGGTTTGTGTGATATGTGTCCCTGTTTCTAGTACGCTATCTTATATGGCTATGGATGTTGTCATCACTTCTTGCAGCAGAGCCTACAGTTCGCGTGATTTCCCGTACGTGATTCCTTAGTTGCGTCAGTGATGTGTGTATCAGTGACCTCGTAGTATGCGTTTGGAGTGGGTTTAAGAGGTTGCGTGTCTTTTGCGTTGTATGAGCGTAAGCTCTCCTCTCTACACTTTTCGGTGCTGGAATGTGTAACAAGGCATGGTATGACTCGTGTTTCCCGAGGGGGTCCGAACATTCCTCAGATCCCGTCAGAGTGTTCATCTTTTTAGGATTTCAGAGGTCAATAGTTCTTTTGCGTGGTGATGCATCTCTCCGATCCCGTCTCCCCGGGCCCGGGGTCCGTCCAATGAAATAGAAGAGAAGAAAGAAAAAAAAAAGGGAGGGGAAGAGGAGGGGGAGGGAAGAGGAGGGCTTACGGGTGGGGTGGACTGTTTCTGGTGGAATCTGCATCTGATGTTGCCCCGTCAGTGGGTTCGGGGGCGTCACCTGCTTGTCTGTAGCGGGTGATGTAGAGAAACCATTGGAGCCACAGTTCTGTGTGTTTCGTTGCACGACCCGTCAGGGAGGCGTGTATTTCTTCTGCTCCGTGGATGTCTTCTACTCTGCGGATCCATTCTTTCTTAGTTGGTACATCGCTTTTCTTCCAGTGTGCCGGTATGTTAGCTTTGGCCGCGTTTAGTAAGTGACGTAATATAGATCTTTTATACGTCCGAATCGATTGTGTCGTTATGTGTAGGAGGGCTAGTTCCGCGCTCCATTCCGGGATATCGCCCAGAATGTCAGTCACAGTGTCCTTAATCATTGCCCAGTATGGGGTAATGTCTCTGCATTCCCACCATATATGTATCAAAGTGCTGCGTTCTGCCTGGCATCTCCAACAAGTCGGGGTGGTTGATGGGAAGATCTGGTGTAGGAGGGATGGCGTTCTGTACCAGAGGGAGAGCAGCTTGTAATTTACCTCTTGGTAGTATGAGCTCATAGAGCTTTTTTGCTGCCATAGTAATGCCGAATCCCATTGTGAGGGTGTGAGCGTCTTTCTAAGTTGTCCTTCCCATTGGCGGCGGAAGGTGGAAGCCTGGGTTGTGCCTCCGATAAGTAGGTGTTGGTAGAGTGCTGCTATGGCATGGTCTAGTGTGGTGCCACTGTCACAGAGGCCCTCAAACCAGGTGAGGTCTCTGTGCAAGCGGTCTTTATGTGGCATTGTGTCATGGTAGTGTTTTAACTGTAGATATCTAAGCACCATGAGGGGGGTCCTTGGATCGTCACCTAATAATGCAGTTAGGTCCCGGACTCTGCCACCGTCGAGGGCTTTGTGAATGGGGATGTAGTCCCTCTCACTCGGGATGGGCCATGCACCAGGTGGGAGGCCACCTCCCAAGGCCACGTTATGAGTGAGTGGAATCATCGGGCTAGGGGTGGGCGATATATAGCTCTGGTCTCTCAGCGATCTCCAACCGGTGATTGATTGTGTTATCAGCCCCTCATTGTTTTGGGCCGCCGGGCCTCTCGTCGTCCCCCATATCCTCATTTCCAGTGTTGGTCCGATAAGGCCTTTATCGAGCTCTACCCATTGTTTCGTTGTGGGTTCCTGGTGCCAATCCAGTATCCGTTGCATTACCGTGGCTTGGTGATATTTCTTGATGTCTGGTAGAGCTAGTCCACCATGGTTCCTTGGGCGGCAGAGTATGTCATGTCGAATTCGCGAGCGTTCCCCTCGCCACACAAATTTAATTATCGCCGTTTTCAGGGCGGAGAAGAAGGTCCCTGGGATGGCTAGTGGGATTGTTTGCATGAGCTATAGGATTCTCGGCAGTATGTTCATCTTGAGGATCGCAACTCTTCCATGCCAGGTTACATGCGGGTACGACCATCTAGCCAAGTCCGCTAAAATTTTTCAGGAGGGGAACGAAGTTGAGTCGGTATATGTCTTCTGGGTCTGTGGTCACCCAGATACTTCATCCGTCCGTAGCACCAATGAAAAGCGAATTGCGAGTCCAGGGATATGTATTCTTCTGTGGGGATCGTGATGTTCAGGACCTCACATTTTGAGAGATTGAGTTTAAAGCCCGAGATTTTCCCGAATTTGTCGAATTCGGAGAGGAGGCACGGCAGAGTTGTTCTAGGGTTCTGTACAAAGAATAGGAGGTCATCCGCATATGCGGCCACTTTATGGTTTGTTCCTTGCCAGCTGTATCCTTGAATGTTTGGGTTTAGGCGTATCTTCTGGAGCAGTGGTTCCAGGGTCATAGCGAACAGGAGTGGTGATAGTGGGCAACCTTGACGGGTACCATTGTTGATTGTGAAGTCTGCTGTCGTGGCCCCGTTGACTCTCACGTTTGCATGCGGTTTGCTGTAGAAAGCGGATACCCATGCGAGTAGTCTCTGTCCGCATCCCGTGTGTTGTAGGGTGGTCATCATGTACGACCAGTCGACCCTGTCAAATGCTTTTTCCGCATCCGTAGATAATAATAGCATCTTAGTTTTTGTCTTCCTTGCGTGTTGTTGGATTGAGAACAGTCGTAATGTGCTATCTCTGGCCTCTCTGCCCGGGATGAAGCCTGTCTGGTCCGCGTGTATCAATTCTGGAAGGGAGTTGTTGAGCCTGCTCGCTATGGCTTTCGTGATTAATTTGGCGTCTACATTAAGCAACGATATGGGACGATGGCTACCGCAAAGCAATGGATCCTTTCCTGGCTTGAGCAGGACCGTGATGGTCGCAGCCAAGGATTCCGTGCCCAGGTGTCCTCCGTCCCCCACCGCGTTGATTGCTTTAGTTAGCCATGGTATCAGGAGGTCAGGGAAGCTCTTATAATATCCAGTTGAAAAACCATCTGGTCGCGGTGCCTTGCCTGATTTGGACGCTTTCAGTGCCGCTGCAAGCTCCTCTGTGCTGATTGGTGTGTCGAGTGCCGACGCTGATTCTTGGTCAATCGTTTTGATGATCGTGTCAGAGAGGTAGTCTCTTATCTGAGCGGTTCTTCTTTTGTCGCTCGTTGTCCTCGTGGGTGGGCTTAGGTTGTAAAGTGTTTCGTAGTAGGTCCTAAACTCATCGGCGAATTTTTTATTTTGTATTTTTTTTTTTTTGTGGATAGGGGGTCACTTCTCCCGAGGAGAGACGGAGTTTGCATATTTGTCTACGGGGCGTAGGGCCTTTTAATAATCTAGCCAGGTATTTCCCCCCTTTATTGGTGTGTGCGTAGTAAAAACCTTTCATGCGTTGTAGATTTCGGAGATGCTTTTTTATGATGAGTCCTTTAAGTGCCCTTCTGTGTTCCATCAGTTCCCCGTATATTTCGTGTAGTTGGGATCTTTTGTGCTGATTTTCCAGCTTCGATATCTTTTGGTATTGGTTAGTCATCTCGATCATATTCGCTTTCCGTTTTTGCGAGGCAATGCGGATGAGTGCTCCGCGAACGACGCTCTTATGTGCTTCCCATATGGTTATCGGGGAGACCTCTGGTGTGTCATTGTCTCTGAAGTAGTGTTCTAGCTCTCTGGTTATTTGTTCTCTGGTAGTCGGATCAAGTAGGAGAGCCTCGTTAAGTCTCCACGTCCACGTCGTTGGGCGAAACATGGGGGACTCCATCTCTAGTCTGACCGAGCCATGGTCTGACCATGTAGACGGGTCGATGTCCGCTTTGAGTAAGCGAGCGAGTCCCTCCTGCGTGATGAAGAGGTAGTCTATGCGAGAGTAGCGGTTGTGAAGAGCGGAGTAGTAAGTATAATCTTTCACCGTTGGGTTGAGTGTTCTCCAGCCATCCACCAGTCTCAGGTCGATTTTCGGATCAACCGGATGTTGCTTTGTGAAATACTACTATGTCCCGACGATGAGTCCAAGATTTGGTCCAAAGGTACGTTAAAATCCCCCCCCTACGATTAATATGCTATCCGTGAATTCTTCTAGTATGTGCAGCGTGTTTCGGAGGAAGGGTACTTGTCTTCCGTTGGGAACGTAGATGTTTGCCAGGGTGTATATCCTGTCGGCTATGATCCCCTTTAAGAAGAGATACCGTCCGTGTGAATCTTGTGTTCTCTCAAGTTCTTTGAATTCAAGCTCGGCTGCTAATATTATGGCTGTACCCGCTTTGTGTGACGTCGAATGATTAGAGAAATAGTTGTTCGGGTAGTGTTTATTTTGTAGCTTAGGTGCCGTGCCTTCTTTGAAGTGGGTTTCCTGGATCATGGCCACTGCTATATGCTTTTGTTTCAGCTCCCTCAGCAGATGGGTTCTGCGTTCAGGGATGTTGAGGCCTCTGCAGTTCTGGGTGAGAATCCTCAGAGGTGTGTTTCGGTAGGCCATTCTCGTGGTATAGACTGAGTGTTCCCTTAAGTCCGAATTGTATGAGAAAGGGGAAAGGAAGGAACGAAAAAAAACCCCCAAAAAACGTGGGGGGGTGGGGGGGAAGGAGTGAAGGGGTAGTACTTTAGTTTTCAAAGACTGTATTCCAAGCCCGGGGCACCGTGGATTGGGACCAGTCAAGACCTGTTGTGGTGATAGAAAGAAGTGTGCCCGGGTTGTGGTTTTAGTATATGAATCGGGTGAACCCGGGTTTAGTTCCCTTATGGGGAGACAAAGATTATAGATCTCGTGCTGCAGACAGCACTAGTGGGGCCTCGCCTCGGTACCCGCCCGGGGGTCGAGAGCGCCTTTAGCCTGTCTGCACTACTCTTAGCACGAGTAAGTGTGTTGGGAAACGCGAGTCAGGCTCCGCCCAAGGATGTAATCAACTCAAGAGTGGGATCGTCCACCCCACCGGACCCTCTTTGGGTAGTGTCGTGCAAGGCTAATTCTCCTGTGTTTGTGGGACGTGCCTTGTGGTTTCGATTATGTATCTCTATGGCCGAGGCAATGTCCCCGGCATCGTTGGTTTCAATATCCCCCCCCCCTCGCCCCAGTGTCCCTTGCCTCGTCTACATGCCCCCTGGGATGGTGAGCTCCCCTCCGTGCCCGAGGTGGTCTCTACCTTCTGCTCCTGGAAGCAGTGTGTTCTACTCTGTAGTGTGGTGTATCGGGGTGGGTGTGCGTGGTGGTTTTACCAGTGACGACGCTAGTGTTAAAACTTAGGCCAAATATGTGTATTCAGTTGTTGTTGTTGGCCTTCACTATCTGTCTTCTCGATGGTAGGTGATTATCCACACCCCTGGGAGGTTTCTGTCGGTCTCTCTCTAACTTAATGTCTGACCATTAAAGGGGGGTACATAGCGAGGGGTGTATCCATGGCATATGTACATGATGTGGACAACAATAACATAGCATAACATAACAAGTTTCAACATTTCAACATTGCTTTATCGACATCACCCGATATCCCCCATATGACCCCTTGACCGTCAACAGCTGCCCAGCCTCAATGTGAGTCCCCAGTGTTCCCCACTTGTCTTCCGTCATGCGTGGAGTGGGGGGGGCGGCCCCCCAAGTGTTGAGTTGTGGGGTGTCCCGGGTCAGTGGCCCTCGTCACCTTGTGTTTCCCTCTACGTGTAGCCGTAAGGGCCCCTTTGATCAGTGTGGTAGTATACGATAATTGGCGGTACCGGTCGTACGTCGGCAAGTCGTGTGTGGTGAGGCGTGTCGTCTTGCACTCCTTACTCACCTGTCAACCCCCTCCCCCTGGTCACAGTCATAGCTTATGATTTGTCGTAGGGGTAGGTGCTATTTATATTGTTCAATGTGCTTCCTCTTCCAAAGTCCACATGCCCGGTAATATGCTTGTAAACATTACGCCTTCATTCGGCATCATGAGTGTTGGGGATCCAGGGAAGAGGATTAGTGCCCAGTTCGCCACGGTATTCATCTCTACCCGAACCCGGAGCACCCCCACCCCAAACATATGTACCCAGGCCTCCGTGAAGAGGTGGCAGTCATTACACTGAGGGGAGAGGGGTAGTCCTGAGAGGTGCATCTTGGTGAAAGTATGGTCTCCCAGGGTAGACCCGTGTTCCCATGGGCTCCCCACCCAAAGTCCCTTGTGTACAGTCCCGGCATACCTGCAAGTGTCCCAGTCTAACTTAGCAGCACTGATCAGTCAACAGAGATCGATGTCATTTTCTTTGGAGGGTTGTTTCTAGGTGCATGGTAGGAGGTCACATGACTCAGGTTGCTGAAAGGCTGATGACGGAGCAGGCGGGTCTGCACTCACTCCTCCGGGGAAGTCGGGTTCCTGCGCCGTCTGGCAGGCTGAGCAGAGGGGGACCGTGTTCCTCTCCGTCTGGTCCCTCTTTGCGGTCGCTGAGTTGGGGCTGACGTTCCCAATATCCAGTTGGGGACCGCCGGTGCTGGAAGGCCTAGTTCTTCCATGAATCGCGGTACTTCTTCGGGCCAGCGTAATGAGATCCAGCCATTTTGGTGCCTGGCCATCAATGCGAATGGGAACCCCCATTTATAGGTGATGTCTCGTTCCCGTAATGCGGTCGTCACGGGGCGGAGGGCTCGCCGAGCCTCTAGCGTGATTGGGGATAAATCGTTGTATAATGCCACTTGGGTGCCCCTGTAGGGCCAAGTTGGCCTTTCGCGGGCCTTTCTCATAATAGTGTCTTTGACTGGAAAGGAATGTAAGCAGCATATTAGATCTCTCGGGCCATCCTCCAGGGTCCTGGGCCGTGTTGTTCTGTGTGCCCTTTCAAACTCTATGTGCTGTGGTGAGGTTGGTTGCAAGATGGACTGGAAAAGTTCAGTAAGTATTTCCACCACGTCTTCTGTTGGTCCTTCAGCCTCTGGGATGCCCCTAATGCGGATATTGCACCTCCGACCCCTGTTATCTAGGTCCTCAAGGTGTCTTCTCATAGAGAGGAGCATTGTTCCCTGGCGGGCTATTGCAGTGTCTGCAGTTGCCACACGTGTTGTAAGGGCCTCAGTGGCCTCTTCTTGCAGTGAAATGCGGCCTGCGTGCGCGGTCACCTCAGATCTGATCCCTGCCATCTCTGCTCTGAGGGTATCTTGTATTGTGGTGGTGAGGGATTTGAGGTCGTCTTTCGTGGCCATGGAGGCCGTGAGACTGCGCAGCCTATCCTCGATTCTATCGAGAGCTGTGCTCTCCGTCCCTGACGGGGATGTCGGCGCCATCTTGGGGCCTTCCGGTTCCCCGCTTGCGCCGGGTTGTGGGTGCAGGAATCCGTCCAGGGGGCCCTGTTGGAGGTTCTTTGGGGTCTGGGGTTGCTCCGGTCGTTTATTACGACCCATTTGGCTGTTGGTTGCATGCTTTAGGGGCTATTACAGGGTCCGGTGGAGCGGAGCTCTCCTTCTAAGCGTCCATCTTGGTTCGCGCCGAAACCACGCCCCCTACACTTTTAAATTTCACCTATTTCTCTAATTCTGTGGCTCTTTATAATCACAAGTTTCACTTTAAATCCTAATAATGAATAATGGAAATCTTCACAGAATTGCTCTTTGAAATAATTAACTTTGCCATATGAAAATGTTATATTTTTTAACTTCATTTATATACTCTCTATAGGAATACAATGTCAAAGCTTTATAATATGTAGTTTTCATACTAATTCCCGTTTCCTTTTTTCAGTAGATTATAACTGCTTTTTTTCCTCTCATAAGTATGTTATATATATTACTGTGCTGGACGTTTATTAGAGGGCAATATGCCTCATTAACTTATCCTCGTCCCATTGGAACGCATAACGTGATGAAACGCGGAAGTAAAAGCCTTTCGGTCCCGCTGGAACGGATGGTCCAATGGAACACGGAATTGGAGGACTTCCGATTTTCGGCACGAAACAAGGGTACCAAATTCAAACGGGAAAAAGACCAGATGGAACTACATACCTGAGAAGCACTACCTGTGCACCTATAGACGGAAAGATGACAACACCCACTGATCCACCAATCAACTGAGGGATTAGCCCTATATATAGAGACTCTAAAAAGGGGGTATTAGATTACTTGTTTCATTTTTGTTTTTATTGCTGTTGGAATATAATTGCCATTGGTCCCTGAGGAAACTCCATTGTTAGGCAAAACGCGTAGGACCTCTAGTCCTTTCTATATTTTATGCTGGTGGTTGTTATCCACCTTTTTAAAAATACATTTTGATACTCTTTATCTCAATTCCATCGTTTGGAGTCCTGATTTGACATCTCACTTTCTGGAGTGGACATGTGGACTACATAGCCACCCATCTACATCGGGGAGGCACCTTTGAGCGCTTTCATACGTCTTTATCCTGTGAGTGTACACCATTTTGGCACACTACATTCATAGTTTACTATATTATACTATATGTTTTTTTTATATTCCTTATTTTAGATATTGCACAGCCGTATCCCACATTTCCTTTTTTTTTTTTTTTTTTGTTGCTATATACTACTATAAGGACGTTTGTGGGTTAATTTTAAACCGGTATAGAATTTTTGGTAAGGTGACGATTTTGATGTTCACTCTGCCTGCCCACCAAAGTCCATGAGTGTAGTTCACTCCTGGGATGTGGTATATTAATCGGCATGGCTTAAGTTTTGGATTAACTGAATATATAGTATGATTTTCTTGATAGTAGTGTTAGTCGGTTTGGCGTTGAATCTTAAGGTTTTGTTAGTTACTTTTACATCATCGCCAAACCTTGAAAACAGATACTACTTATAACTCCTGATATTTTTGGAAGTGCTCTCATTGTGCCAGCTAAGGGTTCTACTAACAACACAAACACTAGGGGGAGCAGGGAGTAGCGTGTCGAGTACCATTAGTAACTGTAAAGGTGTCAGATGAAAAACCTGCAAGGTACTCTGTAACAAATGGCTACAAGCTGTTTTTAAAAAAGCGGGATACGTTGCCGGAGGGGTAGATCTTTGGAGCTCCCCAACCAACACATTGCAATGGACAAAGCCAAGTGAGAAATTGTTGGAAAATTTGGGGTAGCTAGAGTTTTCTCACAGAACACTGGATGGTTAGGAGAGATTTCATGGTTTCTTTTTGTTGGCCAATACCCTCTGAAAAAGCCTTTTCCCATTAACCAGTCAGAGGCATAAGTAGAGGAAGTATAGGATCACTTCTTGATTGCGATAGAGAGCAAAACAGTCCAAACTCATGCTGATTCACAGAGCTTGAAATGTTGCATATATATGTTATCAGTTACAAATTCGTCATGCAGTGTTCTCTGATCCTCAAGTCAACCAAAGTTGTGCTTTGAACCTTTCTATTAATCGTATTCTATATGCTGAGTGGAATTTACCAACTGTTTACTTGATAAGATTCCTGGGAAATTAACAGACTTTTGAGTGCTGTATACATGGAAATTGTTAGACATGCAAGTGATAGTCAGTCTTGCATGTGTGCTCCCTAGCTTGTAGTTGCCATTTGATTTCTGTTGTATTTTGATATTCACTTATATAACCACATTCCCCACAACTGTTCAATGTCTCAAAAGCCAGTCTTCACCTAGCTAAAATGTTTCCAGTATTTGCTTATATTTTTTCATATTTCCTTGCAAAGCAGAAATACCATTTCATTGTTTTTACAGGTCACTCTTATTTTACTGTGTGTGCAGTGTTCTATTTATTTATTTTGGTGCTGATCACAGAATTAAACTTTTTGCATTTGTTTTTTGTATATTTTGAAGTGAAACTGTAATGAAAAAAATTACTTCATAAATCACCCACCTCCAACTCATCCTCCATTTCTCCACTGGTCTTCTGTGATTTGCCTTGTTTGGACATGCTTCCCTGAGCAGGACAAACCTCCTGTGTGACGCTTAAACACTGGCTCTGTTGCCAGTATGCCAACGTCTGAATCAAGCAACAACAGTCACACAATTTCTATACTCCCTAGCCAGTGCTAGCAGCACCATTATTTTAAATATAGGCTGTGTGAGTAACAGCTTTAGCAGGTGGGAGGTGTGCGTTAACAGAAACAAAAGTGATACATTTCCTAGAGATTTGAACAATGAGACTGCGGGGACATGATCTAGACACCAAAACTGGTTAGTTACGGGACATTATAGTCACCAAAAAAAGTTTAGCTTAATGAAGCAGTTTTTTTGTGTGTGTGTGTGTGTGTGTGTATATGTATATGTGTATATGTGTATATATATATATGTATATATATATATATATATATATATATTAAAGGACCACTATAGTGCCAGGAAAACAAACTCCGGGCTCCCTCGTGCATTACTCAATGCTTTCCTATGGACATCAGTGAGAATCGCGGAAGCCGCCTCTAGTGGCTGTCAGACAGCCACTAGAGGCTTTATTAACCCAGTGTAAACATAGTAGTTTCTCTGAAACTGCTATGTTTTCAGCTGTAGGGTTAAAACTAGAGGGACCTGGCACCCAGACCACTTCATTGAGCTGAAGTGGTCTGGGTGCCTATAGTGGTCTTTTAATTCTCACTGCTCCGTTTTCTGCCATTTAGTAGTTAAATCATGTATGTTGCTGTTTATGCAGCCCTAGCAACACCTCCCTCGGCTATGACTGGCATAGCCTACATGAAAAAAAATTTCAGTCACTTAAAATATGTTTCATCTCCTACTATTCTAATTTAACTTTAATCACACGGGAGGCTACTGCATAGTCTTGCAAGCTGTTAACAGTACAGGAAATCAGAAAAACTGAATTAAACACTGTGCAATTTGTTTCATAGTTACGTAGCTGAAAAGAGACTTGCATCCATCAAGTTCTGCCTTCCTCACATATGTTTTTGCTGTTGATCCAAAAGAAGGCAAAAAACCCAGTCTGAAGCACTTCCAATTTTGCAACACACTAGGGAACAAAAAAATCCTTCTTGACCCCAAAATAGCAGTCAGATGTCTCATTAGATCAAGCAGCTATTACCCCACTAATTAGAAATTATACCCCTGTATGTTTTTGCAAGTGTTTATCCAATTGCAGTTTAAACATCTGTACGGACTCTGATAAAACCACCTCTTCAGGCAGGGAATTCCATATCCTTCTTGCTCTTACTGTAAAAAAAGTTTTCCTTTGCCTTAGATGAAATCTCCTTTCCTCCAGTCACCTCGTGTCCTATGTATAGCCCTGTATATGAATAGATTTCCAGATAATGGAAGTATAATCTTTAGATCTCACATTACAGGAAGTGTTTAGGAATGCTGTTCTGAAAAATCAAGTACAGTTTAGTATTATTGGATATCTAAAAAACAGAGTGCTGAAGCTATATATTTCCACTCACATTGATGGAGCCTATTGTTGCTGGCTCTAAACAGAAACACACATTGCGCTGATTGGAGGGAAAGAAGGAGGCGTTCAAATTATGAGCGCTTTTTAAGAACCCCCGGTAGACTGATGAAGATGAATATACATCAAAATATGTCTTGGTACTGAAGACACTATGCATGTCTCTTTTTTTGTGTTTAGTTTTTTTATATTGTATTTTATTTTGTTTGAATACATGTGTTCCATATAAATAGTGAAGTGGTTTCTGCCATTGACACTGGAATGCAGATGGAGTTAGGTGCACCACCTAATGGCACTAAAAATTATTGGAGCCTAGAGCCAGTCTTATAATTCTATATAAGGTGAGCATTGCATTATTAGCAAATTTGTTTAATCATGACGTACTAATCTATTTTGTTTACCTGGAAGCCTCTATAAAAGTAGACGTGTTGCATTGCCAATAAAAGTGAGGAAGCATTTGTGTTTAGAGCCAGCAATGATAGGCTCTATCTGTATGAGCATGGGCATGATCTTTACACCACAAACTGCTTCATTAACCTGAAGTTATTTGGTGATTATAGTGTCCCTTTCAGCTGAAGTTGTTTTGGTGCTTGGAGTATCCTTTTGCAAATGACATTGCCCAGCTAAAACTAGGCAAAGCCAGGGCAGACATTGTAAATGAAGAGGAGAAACTAAAACGTGGGTTTTATTTTTAAAAAGTGTCTGTTCTGAAAAGTGGTGCAAATATAAAAGGTGGATTCACCAATGAAACCAGTGTTCTGGTAACCCTTAGTTTCCATCATGGCTGGACCACTTTGTAGAACGGGACAGCACTTTTTTTGTTTGTTTTTATAATTACCCCTATTGCCTTTTTTTGTTTGCTCTTCCCTATGTACTTTCTCTGTGCCAACTGCCAGGTGCAAAGGAAACACTAGCTTGGGTTTACTTAGAGGAATTTTGTACCTGGTCAATTTATGCCTACAATTATGATCATGTAAGCATTACCATATTGTATAAGCCAATCTCATACAGTTTTATTGCACTTTTTATTATTTTATATATTTTTCTTTGGGACTAATGCTTGACTTTTTTTTTTTTTATTTTTTTTTTTCTCCATAGTAAAATCGAAGTCTAACTATTCTAGTTATGTCACAAAATAAGCAACATGCATTTAATCTCATTGTTATTTTTAAATAAAAATCCTAATTTTGATTGGGGGAAAAAAAAAAACAAACTGACCTAGTTTATTCTTTCTAACAGGCCTTGCTTCAGAATATGGAGTTCGAGGATTTCCTACAATAAAGTTGTAAGTCTTTAAAGAAAACAAATAATTTGTTGGGCTATTTATAGTGAATACAAACCTTTTGGTGTGTGTTTTTTTTTTTTTTTTTTTTTTAATAGAAATTGTTACTGGGAGGGGGAAGTGGGGATAAAATTACAAATATGGTCAATATTGCCACTATTTTCAAAAAGCTCTGATCTAAAGAATTGTTGATTGAGTTATTTTGTAGCATATACAGTAATTCCTTTTTTTTAATAGATTTTCTGCATGAGGGAAACTTTCTCACAATTCTGGGTGTGACTAAATCTTCTAAAAGTTTTTTTGGCTGCTATTAAGATTGACTTTTGCATATATACACAATTAATATATTCATAATTCGCTCCTGCTTTTTTTTTTTAAGGCTATATTCCTTTAACTATGGATATAAAAGATTTGTAAACTTTCATTTTAAGATTAAAGGGAGAAATGGCTTATAACTACAGAGGTCCCAGGACAAAGGAGGATATTGTTGAATTTGCAAACAGAGTAGCTGGGTAAGTACCTTAAACAATAATTTAAAAATATTAATTTGTTTAATATTAGATTTAATATTTTCACCTGTGTGCTTGGTATCTAGAAAAAAAATGGTGACTTATAACTGCTAACACGGCTGGCTTTAGCTATTTTGCTGCCTTAGAGTAGACTGCTACTTGAGACAGTTATGTTCTAACCTGGGTATATTCTTAATTTACATTTTTCCACACTAGAGACCTAATTTTTGTGATACATGGAGTTTGATATAGCAATCTAAGCAACACAGTCATTATTGCTAGTGTGCTAGTTGTGTTGCAAAAAAAAATAAAAAATGATGGATGCTGAAACAAGACTTTTTCTTGCACCTCGCGGCAGCCCCCTCCAAAAAACAACTTTGTTCGGGCTATTGTGCTCTTAGCCAGTAATTGAAATTGGTAATGTGGAAGTGTAAATTTAAAGCAATAAAATAAAGAGAAGTATCAAAGTAACCCGATTTAACCCCGCAATTAAATGTGTAATATTTAAGGAGACACGTTTGGCACTAGAAAAACTTTAGCTTAATTATGTAGTTCTGGTGTATAGATCCTGCTTCTGCAGTCGCACTGTTAAATTCTCTGCCAGAGAGTGGCTATTAGTAGTCGAAGAACGTAAGATGACACTCATAGCCAATCACTGACACTTCCCCGCTGCACATGCTAATGCTTTGGCGTAAGCCTTGGCAGAAGAGAAGAGGGAGAAAGTCACTAGGGCACACAACTATTCTTTAACCGTTTAATACTTAAAGGCAAAACTGCGCCTGGTGCCTCCTAGCACCATAATTTTATTCAGATGAAGTGGTCATGGTGGCTGTGCAGCTTCTTTGCTATGAAACACTGCACAAACTGAATATAAGACCTTTGTTGTTGAGGTGTGACTCCACCTCCGGCAGCGTCATTAGCCAGCCCAGCCTACAACAAGAGTTCAGGGCTGGCTAATGTCAATTCTGTGCATATTTATATGCACAGAATTTCATTCAGTAGCCGAGAGAAATCGGTGAATGTTTTCAGCCAATGAATGGCCAGCAGGATGTCCTAACCCATCAGTAGATGAGGCCAGGGGCCTTAGGGGAACCCAGGTAATAGGGCAAACCATTGTGAAACATTTTGCTCCACTGCAGGGAAAACTACGTAGGCTACTCCTAAAATCGTAAACCACTACAACGGGCTGTAGCAACTATAGTGGTTAGAGTAACCCTTTAACCCCTTAAGGACCAAACTTCTGGAATAAAAGGGAATCATGATATGTCATACATGTCATGTGTCCTTAAGGGGTTAAGTACTCTTTACTGTGCAAGCAGTTTTGTAGACTTCAGGATAGCACATTCTAGTGATTAATTTGCTGAGGTAGTCCCAGATGACTGCATAATGTTTCAGTGTCGAAATGCATGCTTTCCTTTTTTTTTTCTTTTGGGTTGAGTGAATGAGGAATGTGCTAAGATTTTGTAATTTGTTTTATTAAGCACGCAGACGAGCTGGGTATGTAGGAGCTGTAGGCTCTGAGGCAACAGGTAAAAGCTACTTAGTCTTTACAGTTATTTGGCGCGGATCGTTCCACTTATTTCACATTGGTCCATATTAGTGTTTATTGGGATCCTAGTAGGATAATCGAAGTGAAAATAGAATCCACTCTACTCTGTCCTCCGTTATCTTAGTACCTTCTTAGGTTTGACTATCCAGGTCTTTAGTTGATTGCCTGACCGTTAAATTTGTTAAAGGGTTACACCAACCACCATGAACAATTTTTAATATAGTGGTCATATGTATGTCTAATGTTTCAGCTTGACACTCTGCGCATATTGAGTTATTATTGATTGTGTGACGGGAGCTTGTTGCGCCCGCAACTCTGTTCCGAGTTTACAATTGTCAATTCTAGATGAGTAATACATTTATTTTAAGCTTATTTTTTTTTAGTTTGGGGGTGGAAGGGAACTAAAACATAAAGCCCAAAATGGCATTGTACTTTGAAAACCGAGAGGAGAAAAAAAAAAAGTTTGAGTAAACCTTTAACTTTGTGGTTGGTCTTTTATTCATTTTCTAGTAGAAACAAACATAAACATTGTTTCGTAACTCCCAACAGAAACAAATCATCCGATAAGAACATTAACAAAAAGGAAGTAAACATTTTTATGGAATGTTTTAAAACTATTGAGGTGTTACAGGTGCGTTTGTAGGACTTCTAAAGGGGGTTACTCAGTCGATGAAAGTTCACATAACTTCTATCATCTTCGTGGCAACCCAGGAACCGGTGGGCGTAATCAATAATAGGATTCTCAATGCTTAGGTGATCCTTTCGAATCCCCATTGTACTTTTGAAAATTAGCTGTAAAAGTTCAAGTCGGCCACTGCACACAAATTTCAGTGTAAGTCTGCACCTTCTCATGAGAGAAACACCAAAGTTCCTCAAGCGTCCTCAGCTCCTCCATTTTAGTAAAACAAAGGGATAGTGAGTGTGGTGTCTTGCTTCTAGAAGAGGAAAACTAGCTGTTTTTACTATGTTCAGAATGGAGATTGTCAGAGAGTTTATGTATCTGGATGAGGGGGTATTAGTATGATGTAGAAAGAAAGCGTCCAGGAGGAACAGTGGTGGGATATAACGCTACGGAATCTGTTGGCGCTATATAAATGGCAATAGTATATAACTAAATGTACGAAAAATGGAGGCAGTGCTTCTACAGTGCGAAACAATGTCCAGTCATTCCCACTATAACTGAAAGAAAGAACTTGGGAATCCCCACCTCCAACACAACCCATCTAGCTCAAACCTAAAAAATAATTATTTTAAATCAGCCAGCATTGCCTCAAGTCATCCCAGCATCAAATATGACCACAAGGGGAGGGGAATGGGATTAGTCCCATTTTAGTGGTCTGTGAGTAACAAAAGGCTGTGAAGACTTTGGTCTGCATGCGTGTGTGGGTTTAATCATAGAAGCACAGAAAGTGGTCTACTCACCTCAATTGACTTTCAAGGTTTCTGTGCTCCAACCTTAGCCCATTCAACCACACGAGTAGGTAACTAGCATGATAATAAAGCTTGAAGTTACAGACCTCCAAACCTTCCCTGGTCTTGGGCAGTGTCCGCTGTGAGAATATTTGTTTAGGTTTGGATCTCTTCCGTAAGAATTTGATTAATAGTGAGCACAATGACGGAAGGAATGCTGATAAAATGTAAACTGGAAGGGTTTGGAAAAGATACAGGATTCTCGGCAATATATTTATTTTAATAGCTACCACCCTCCCAAGCCAAAAGATATATTGCAGCACCCACTCAGCCAGGCTATTTTGGATAGTGTTTCCGCTTGGTTAAGACATTTGTCTGATAGACATGTTACATACGTTGGAAACCAGATTTCCAGGTATTTAATGGCCAGATTGCTCCATTGGAATTGAAAACTCTGACAGATTGGGTAAATTAACATTCAAAATGGTGGATTTAAAATAATAAATTTTTAGGTTTGACACAATTCACCATGAATGATTTCAATTCTGACATTGTGACGGGTAGGAAAATTTCAGGGTTTGAAACAAAAAATATCAAATCATCAGTGTAAGCTACTATTTTGTGGTGACCATAATCCACCTCCACCTCTCAGATGTCTGTGTTCTCCCGAATCACCTGCCGGATTGGTTTGAAGACAAAGACGAAGAGCATGGGCGACAGGGGGCACCCATGCCTAATTCTGTTACCTATAGGGAAAGTATCTGTTATGCCCTATTGATGCACACATTGATGCAAGGAATATAAGGCATATTTTGTCTATTGTTGCATATGTTAGCCCAAAGCTATAGTCCTCAAAGTGGCAAACAAAGTCCCAACTGACTCTGTCAATGGCCTTCTTTGTGTCCGTTAAGAGGAGGAGAAGGCTCTTAGAAGTATCTTGCGTCTGGTGTATCAGAGGCAAGGCTCCTATGGTCATTATTGCTCCTATGGTCCTATTGTCACAAGCCTCTCTATTCAAGACAAACCCAACCTGGTCTGTGGAGAACATCTTGGGAAGGGAGGAACTGCCCAAAAACTAGTGCTATGCAAACTGGATTGCTTGCAGGATCTCCTTAATGCATAACCAGAATAATAAAATATTTACATTTAGTCACCAACCTATGACGATGGAACTGCTTTCATCAATAAAACAAGCATTTTACCATCTACACGTTTTGCTTCTGCTTCTGTCATTTATTTTACGTATCAATATACCTTATTCTTTTACTTATTCAATATTTCAATAATAAATATATTTACATATTTAAAACCAATACCTTTCTATTTCACTGTGAGGCTGTTAGGTTGCTGAATTTGTTGAGACAATTCATAGTGTTTTTTACATTTAATGAGTTGTATTTGTTTTGTTGTAATGTCTTGATTTTTGTTTTTGCTTTTGTTTAAGGCCTTTAATTCGTCCGCTTCCAAGCCAGCAAATGTTTGATCATGTACAGAAGAGACATAATGTTCTTTTCGTGTATGTTGGCGTTGAATCCACCCTAAAGGTATGGTATAATCTCAATAGTTGATCGTTATGTTTCAGATATTGTTTACCCCAATTCTACATTGCAGGGATGACTTTTCTCTAGTGGCAAGGGCTAAAAAGACAACTAACACTCTTCCTTCAAACCCCCTCACAAGGCATGGGGGATACCAAAATATATAGATTAAAACTATAGCATAAGGACTACATGGTTGTATTCCTAATGCTATAGTGTTCTTTTATAGTGTTATTTTAAAGGACAGCTGTCACCTCAACTATTTTTTTATATATTCTTTCATCAAGTGTGTGGTTTTTACTTATTTATTTTTTTATTTAAGGAGCCCTATAGGGTCAGGAACACAAACATGTATACACCTATAGTGTTAAAATCTCCATTTAGCCCCCCTCTTGCCTCCCTAAATATAGTAAAATCTTGTATTCAAGTCTGCAGTTCCTGGCTTTGCCCCGGTCTGCTTGTGAGCTGCCTCTGTCTGATGACATCATCAGAAGTGGTGGTTTGAGCCAATCACAATGCTTACTCATAGGATTGGCTGAGACTGTCAAGGAGGCAGATCAGGGCAGAGCCAGCACAAGTGAAACACAACAGCTCTGACCAATCAGCATCTCCTCATAGGGATGCATTGAATCAGTGCATCTTTATGAGGAAAGTTCAGTGTGTGCATGCAGAGGGTGGAGACACTGAATGGCAGTGCTGCTTACTCTGCAGCACTGCACAAGGAAGCACCTCTAGCAGCCATCTAAGGAGTGGCCAGTGAAGTTATCACTAGGCTGTAATGTAAACACTGCATTTTCTATGAAAAGACCGTGTTCACAGCAAAAAGCCTGAAGGGAATGATTCTACTCAGCAGAACAAATTAAATAAGCTGTAGTTGTTCTGATGACTATAGTGTCCCTTTAGGTATGTGTAAAAGTAGGGAGTGTAGGAGAGAAGACCACAGATAGGGTTCATTTTCGAACACTGTCTGACCTAAGGTGTATGTATATGGCTGAAAGATCCTGCCATATACTAAAGTTATGGATACGTTTTTTTTCTAATTTTTTTTACATCAAATGTTTTTTAAATTAAGTATATATATCTTCAATACCTGATGAAATGATTATTATATTAAGAAATGTTTTTAAAGGTGACACATATCCTTTAACAAAAGAACACTCTATTTAAAAAGTATGTTTTTTTATTTCTAAGTAGATGTGTTCTTTTACTGCTTTAGTTTACTAGCCCCTGTTTTTTTTCTTTTTTTTTCTCATGAGAAACACTGGACACATACATTGTCCTTTGCAATATTTTAATCTGTTTTAGTCTGGAGACCCTTGTCTGTCTGAATGAGAGTCACTAGTAGGCAAGGAAACAGCAAAATGGAAACATTACCTTTTCTCAGAAACATGGTTTTCATTTGCAAGGCTGTAGAGTCAGCATCTACACCTCAAAACCATTTATTTAAGATGAAGCATGATGTTTAACCTGTCCCTTAAATTAAAAAAATCATGTTCAAATTGGCGCTTGTATTCTAATGTATCTTATATCACCCCTTCAATTAGGAAAAGGATTGTTGGCCAAGCTGAATGTTAATGTTAATAGAATGTAGGCAAATTAGAGGGGATAGAGCACTCAATTGACCAGTCTGGTGTGGCCTTGTGTTTTGCATTTTGTTTTTTGTTTTCCAGTCATCATGACAGTATTACCACAAAACTAATTTGGAAAGGGGTAGCATAATAATTCTGGTTCCTCAGTCACACCAGAACACTAAACACTAATCACAAAGCTTAATCTTAATCTCCAAATTTAAATGTAAATTTTTGTTTTGAATTCCATGCAAATAACATATGTGTATGTGTGTGTGTGTGTGTATATATATATGTGTGTATATATATATATATATATATATATATATATATATATATATATATATATATATATATATATATATATATATATTACACATATATATATTTTTTTTTTTTTTTTTTTTGCTAGTAGCTACATTTATTTTTATTGGAAACAAAATGTTGCAGAAATGTGCGGTTAATACTAATAAAGGGAATCAACACCATAAAGGAGGAGACTATATTTAAAAGAAGAAAAACTACCACAACAAGAGGACATAGTCTTAAATTAGAGGGACAAAAGTTTAAAAATAATATCAGGAAGTATTACTTTACTGAGAGGGTAGTGGGAGGGAAGGCATGGAATAGCCTTCCAGCTGAAGTGGTAGAGGTTAACACAGTAAAGGAGTTTAAGCATGCGTGGGATAGGCATAAGGCTATCCTAACTATAAGATAAGGCTAGGGACTAATGAAAGTATTTAGAAAATTGGGCAGACTAGATGGGCCAAATGGTTCTTATCTACCGTCATATTCTATGTTTCTATGTTTTGGTGTTAAAAACTTGTTTTAATATAATCTGTTGTATGTTAAGTTTTTATCTCGAAATGTAAAAACAAGTTGTGTTATCAATATCCTTTTATTGTGTGTACTATGAACCTTTATAATTGCTATTATTTTTTATTTATTTATTAAACAGGAGAAATTTATTGAAGTCGCTTCAGAACTTATCGTTTATACATACTTCTTTTCCGCTTCAGAGGAAGTATTGCCAGAGGTAATCCTGATATAGATAACAGGGATGGTTGTTAGACTTTTAACCCTGCAACTGAAAATATTCTGCAAATGTTTGTTTCCTGATGGTTTGTCCAAATCAAATGCATTTTAATGCAACCCCATATAATACCATCTTCCTCTATTGAATTAGTCCAGGTGTGGATTAAAAGGATTTTGATTCGGACGAATAGTCAGAAACAAACTTTTGCACATGTCTAATGGCCACTATATTTTTTGCACTTAGTCATAAATATAGTATTGTTTGGTAACTTAAGTTAATGTTGTATTCAAACCTTCAGAAACTTGATTTTTTACAATATCATAATCATGTGGGCTCTTAAAGGACCACAATAGTGCCAGGAAAACAAACTCGTTTTCCTGACACTAGAGGATCTTTAGGTCCCCCACTCCCTAGGCTGAAGGGGTTAAACACTTACATTTCTCCAGCGCCAGGCTCCCTCAGCGCTGGGGAACACTCCTCCCTCTGCCAACGTCAGCGCCGAATGCCATTGCGCCGAATGCCAATTTCTTAATGCTTTCCTATGGACGGCCAGCGTCCAGTATGATCACGTTACTTTACAACAATGCATTCAAATGCAAGAAACTAGGTAATGCTAACTAGGAAAGGAGACTCCTGTCAAGGGTACCTAATTATCGTTAATGTTGTTTATACCTACAAACTCCGTATCCAGCATGTGTGTACGTGACAAATAGGTAATACCTAGCTGCAGGTTATGGAGGATGAGTGGAATTGCTGTTGGCTCAACACTTTCTCTGAGGAGAAAGAGCTCAGGCCAAGTTGTCTAAGCATGCAGCATAGACATTATAGAAAAAAATTGATCTTCCTAACTAGGACTACAAATAATGTGTGTGACAGCTGAAATGTTCAAGTTAGAAGCTAGAAATCAAAACGCTTTATCTCAGCAAATTGATTAGTACTGTATTACTGTTCCTTTGTGAAATTTACTTACCATTTTAAACGATGGGTTACGTGCTTCTGGTACCGCATGGCTAACATTGTCCACATTGCAGCTGCATTGATAAGTTACGAATTCACAATTTATTCTCCATTTTAATATTTTATTTATATAGAATCCTGAAATTATGTCAAAGTGTATAATTATATGATGTCCTACTCTTGACTAACACAAATATAACGATTATGCTACCACAATATTAGAAATTATTTTTATTCCCTGTTTGACAATATTTACTTGACCATTGATTTGCTTAGGCATTTTAGTTTCCTTTTGAACCTACATCTGTGTGCAGTAGGAATTCTATTCATTACTGCTCTGTTTCATCAACATTACTGAAACCACGTGTGCAGTATGAACTCTATTTATTACTGCAATTGGCACAATTAGTTTTAAAAAAGATGAAAAGTAGGGCTCCCAGACTCCCCCATATTCCATCCAGGAATCGTGTGCGGAGGCAGTTTTTTTTTTTTTTTTCTCCTCCTCGTCCTTTACATATATTGGCAACTATTATTTCAAAGGGAATCAAATAACATTTGCAAATAACAGCACTTTTCAAAACTATGTTATGAATAGAACCAGTAGCAGATAATAGAGGTGACCCATGCCTGCAAAAAGTATATGTATGTATTCTGCATTCAAGATATAATATATGTATGTATATACACATTAAAACCAATGACTGGTGAAGTGAATAACATTGATTAAATCATTACAATGGCTCCTGTCAAGGAGTGTGGCATATTAGGCAGCACATGAAAAGTTAGTTCTTGAATTTAATGTGTGAGAAGCAGGAACATTTTAAACGAGTTGCAAATATATGAACTCATAAGTGTTTGGTTTTTATTCTGAAATCCCAGTTTAACATTTTTTCCTTACAGTACGTTACTCTGAATGAAGTCCCAGCTGTTCTTGTATTTAAAGATTCTACTTATTTTGTCTATGATGGTAAGTAAAGTAATTAACCCTCACATTTGTTGTTAGAGCCCTGGCATTTTGTTACAAACAATTGGTAGTCTTTGTCCCTAAAGGGTTATACTGTTTAACTGCGTGTTACTAGTAACAGTGATGTTTTTTAATATGGTAATACAATGCAAATATTAAAATACTATAGCATGTCCAGATATATTCCAGTTGTAACCAGTGTTAGTAAAAAATTGTGAGCCACAATTAATAAACAGATTAGTACATACATTCATACAGCAGAGTTATATGGAACATGACTCACTCATCTTAAATAAAAAAAATAATATATATATATATACACACACACACACACACACACACACACACACACACATTATTACAGAAAAAGATCATTGCAGCTCTAGTCCTTCATGATACAAGAGAAACATTACTCATTTATAGATTTCTGCTGGTACTGTACATTATCATTTATTCACAATGGATATAGAAATGGAGATATATTTGGTGTATATACAGTTAAACGTATGTTTAGTCTTGTGGTCAACTGCGCTACATACTGTAAGCATCAGCTTTGTCATCACCCTGTCAACAGAGACAGTGTATCATTGGTCGTTGCTTGCTGAGGTTTTGAGTTGGTTCTGAGAGTGAGAGGCTCTAATTTCCATATCTTTAGAGTGCAATGATGTGCACAGCTGTGTGACTCCATTTATCATTTCTTAGATGGTTCCAAAATAGATCATGTGTTGTTTTTTTTTGTTGTTGTTTTTGTTTTATGAATGCATTTCTCAAAAGTTGCCTTGATGTTCATTTTTGCTTGCCATAAGGCAGATTTTGGATGGCTCGTTTGATAATACAATAGGAGATAAAGCAATCAGACTGAGTTTTTCTAACACTTCAAGCATAATGTACTTGATGATTGTGTCAGTGAATCTAAAGTCAAATTGAAAGTTGCCAAAAGCTGAAAAAATGTAGACCACTTTTACATTGTCATATATAGTAGTTTCCTCTTGTTTGTAACCATCGCAAAGCTGAAAACGAACTTTTTTGGTAGTTTCTATCATCTTTGCATTATTGCTGGTGATCATTATTTTCAATCTGTTATCTGCAACATAACTTTTCAGCTCCATTATGTCTTTGCAGTCTTTAGGAAAGAGCTTCCTAGAAGGTAAAGGAAAATAAATTTCATCCTTGAGGCTTTAAACGTTATCCGTGTTATTTACTAAAGTGAGTGTTGCTGGGAAATGTGAATTTTCAGATTTAAATAGCCAAATTAGAAAAAAAAATCTCAGTACGCTGAGAATTTGCCACTTTGACCTTAAATTTGCAATTCACTTTGAATTCCAGACATTTCTCATTCTTGTAAATAACCCTGTTTGTGTAATTTCACCTAAAACAAAACTGACCGTTAACTGCATCTGTAGAACGAAAAGTAATGATTTATAAAATATGTTGCAAAATACTCTCATTATAAAGTCACATCTTACATCTTCTCTTTTGATTTGTGTAAAACGGAAAATCCTCAAGTAGCTTTCTAATTACTGCTAGAAACCTCTGTTAATTCAATTCAATGATTTTACGAATTCAATCTTTTTCAAAAGACTTACCAGATTAAAAGTGCAGTCAGTAATAATACAAGAACAACTAGGATATATGCAACTGCATTCCTCGAGTTCATTTTCCTTGACTTGCTCTCCTTGCACTGCTTTCCTTGTTTTGAAAACAGTTTATATCCCTTTTGACTTGCAACTAGTTAACCTGTCATTGGTGCCTTTTGTACGGCAGGAGGCGTATTAGGTGGCTGGAATTTCCCCGATGCAAGAAGCTTATATTAGAAAAGAAAATGAAACTTACAGTGCAATAGTCATAGTGACATATCAAGCAGTTATAAAATATGCTTCATATAGAAATAATCGATGTTTTAAAGATGCATTTTAATGATAAATGAGAACATATTTACGTATTAATGAGTATTGTAAACAAATGCTACACATTTTGAAAAAGAGCCCTTAGGAGTATGTGTTTAGAATTCATATATTCCTTGTATTGAAAATTGAGACAATCAACTTGTCATATTTTCTTTCTACTTATATGCCATTGGTAAATATGTCCCAAACCACCTTTATTCATTTTTCTTTTCTTCTATTCTCTTACTTAATTTAAACAGTCTGCTTAGCAGTTCTTTGTTTCCGCTTTTAGCGTAAGAATATTTTAGTAAACTGCTGCTCTGTCTTCCACATTTTCACTTCCTGTCTTTTTCTTATTTTTTAAATATCCCTATATTTCTTAAAATCTAATTAAAGGTAATGCCCTAAGCGATATAATAGCTTCTGTTTCTTGCATAGGTTTTGATATAAGGAGCTCCTTTGTACCTGTAAGACGCAACCAGATTCTCCTAAGGAAATCACAAGTAGAAATAAATGCCAATGATTGGAAAGTGTATTAATTTGAGAAAGTGTTAGTCTCAATTCATTACTACCTTCTAGTAGACCAAATTGGGGTTACACACACTCAGTGAAAGGATATTGAGTACTATAATGTGCCAAAATAGGGATAGGGGAGTTCCCAGCAATCCAGATGAAAACTTTTTTCTTTGTTTATTGTCATTACTCTCTTTGTGATGCATAAATGTCAAAAGGGATGTACACAGGCACAAATAATCTAGGGAATAACATTAGTGCACTGTACAGGATTGCTACAGCAGTATTCACCCTTAACTCACATAATTATCAGCGAGAAGAAAAGTAGAGCATATTGCAGAAGAACATATAAATAAACAAAACCTAATATTTGGTATACAAAATGAAAGTTATTAAGTTTATAGTCTACCCGCACCTCCCACACCTCCCCCCTCTGTCCGTCAATATGTTGACTTCCCGTTAAATATAGGGCTCAATTTCCTGTACTTGCTTACAAATCTCTACACAATGCAGCTCCAACCTACCTATCCTCACTAATGCACAAATATGTCCAGTCTAGACCCCAACACTGTCTATGTCTATCCTCTCTTTGTACTCCTATGCTCACTTTAAAGACTTCTCTAGGGCTGCGCCAATCCTATGGAACACCCTGTTAGACTTTCACCTAGTCTCCCACCTTCACAAAATCTTTGAAAACTTACTTCTTCAGGACAGTATATCAATTAAACGTTCAACAGCGTTCCCTTCTCGCACCCTGATTCCTCTCTGCAACTGTCATAAAAACAAAACACTAAGCCCTCAGTGAATACTATCCTAACAACCTATTTGTTTACTCTACACTTACCTTTTGTGTCACTATGCCCCACTCCCTCTAGCACAGGACTTGACAAATTTGGTTGGCATCTAGGAGCCAGCTAAGAAATTAGGAGCCAGTCCTTTTCAACAAGAAAAATTCAATTCTTAAAGGGACACTATAGTCACCAGAACCACTGCAGCTAGATGTAGTTGTCCTGGTGTCTATAGCATGTCCCTGCGGGCTATTCTGCCTTTTCAGCGGTTTAGTAACCCCTCTAGTGACAGTCACTTGGACTGCCGCTAGAGAGACCCGGGTCACTGCTGCACCACGTGTAGCACCCACGTTCAGGGTCTCCAAGCTCTGCATGGAGGCGCTGAATGTTCCTTGTAGATGTTCATTAATTCAATGCATCTCTATAACGAGATGCGGATTGGCACATTTGCTGCGCATGCACAAAATCCTCCCTTTGCTCTCCTAAGGGAAAGCATTGGCTTAGCTGAGATCATAAAGCTTGATAATCTCAGCCATGGAGGTGGGACCAAAACTGGCATGGTGTGGTGAAAAAGGTACACACACACACACTCACACACTCCCTTTCATACACACACACACAGATTCATACACACACACACACACACACACAGATTCATACACACACACACTCTGACAGATTCATACACTCACACACACACACACACACACTCTGGCAGATTCATACACTCACACACACACACACACACACTCTGACAGATTCATACACACACACACACACACTCTGACAACAGGCACGCACACTGACAGTGCAATAATTAAGTAAATGCCTTCAATATCTAAACCAGCATATACGTGGCAATATGATTAAGATCTGAAGTAAATTTAAAACTTTTCTTGCTTTAGTATTTCTAGATACTCTAGTTATTTATTGTGACTGTAGTTTTTGAAAGTGTGCAGTGTTGTCTATATTGCAGTGGTCAGTAGTTTTGATATGTGTATGTATATATGTGTGTGTATATTTACGTAGTGTATATATAGAAGGAGAAATCTGACTGGGTTGGATAATTTCTCCATATCAGCTGTCTTAGCCCTAATTTTACTGTTTAGTGAATAACCGTATGAGTCTCAAGAGTATCTGCAAAGCCAGGTTGTAAAAATGTAGGTACCAGTTACAGTTCACATTTCCTTACCACGTCAGATTTCCCTATCCCACGTCACATCTGTGATAGCACTCCTAACATGTAGGGAAATCTAACGGAGACTGGGAGCATGCGCGAGACCATCAGCTGGACTGGGAACAACTTCTCAGCAAGGTCTTTGAAGGTAAGTTAAAGCCCGTTTCACACTTACTTTATAGTTGTTGCACAGGGCATGGGACATTTACAATTAATTGAGGGTTAAAATTAGGGTTAGGTAACTAATTTAACCTATCTCACTCCTTACCTTAATCCTAGGGGTAAAACTAAAATTAACCATAACATGAATTAAAGTGTTATATTTTTCCCTAGTGACACTAAGCATTCAAAAAAAATTTTTTTTGCCCTAAACCTAACTAATTTTTTAACTCTTACATTAAGCTTAAATGTCTAATGTCCTGTGCTTAGTGAATGCAAGAATTATAATATCAGTACAACACTAACCAAACTGGTCTGTAAATAAATATCAACCCCTTTCCCTAAAACATATATCAGTGATAAGTAGTTTTGGATATGTAAGCATACGTGTATTTATACATAAGTTTATATCCCATGCAATAAATGATATAATATATTTATGCGATATATAATTGATGTGTGTGTTTTATATATTCACAGGACTGATCGCTGTTATATGTATGAGGGAAAGGGGCTTATATTGATTTGCAGACCAGTTTGGCCAGTTGACATTCTTTACCCCACTCCCTCATCCGGATCTCATACCATGTATGGGTTTCCGCTCAGCCTAGTAACAAAGCTAGGTGTGTAATTTCCGTTTCTGTTGCCTTTCATTTTCCCATAACTGGTACTTACTTTTTTACATTCTTTCTCTGTAGATATTTTTGAGGCTCGCACTGTTATTTCCTAAACTGTAAAATTATGGCCAAGACAGCTGATGTGGAGAAAATCTCCCACCCAGTCAGATTTCTTTTTGGATCCACAACCCATTACTCTAGATATTCCGTGTTAATCACTAAAGAGAGAATTGTCTTGAATTCAGTGCTAAAACAACCTATTTAGGTAGAGAATTTCACATCTACCTGATCGTTGTCCTTTGAATATTAACAAACTACCCCCCCTTCTATTTCCTATGTGACATTCTCTCTTTTACGGCTTCTTTTTTTTCATAGAATATGAAGATGGTGACCTGTCCTCATGGGTGAATAAAGAAAGGTTTGAGGGCTACCTCCAAGTTGATGGATTTACATTGTATGAGCTTGGGGACACAGGTAAAATATAGAATTTCCATTCTTGAAACATTTCTTTCATTTGCAAGAGTTTTGCATGTTCAATGTACACACTCACAGGGAAAGGCATGGGAGTTGTTAACTTGCAAACATCCTGGGTGCTTGTAAAAGGAAAAACGATTGGTCTGTTGTGGCTGGGCACAAACAAGAGGGGGTGGGATAGCGGGACCACTGATTGCCATGCTGTTTTTTGATTTCATACCCAAAACATTATTCACATAACTATTATAGAATACAATACCTTGATGTAAAGATAGCATGGCTGGATAGGAGACAGTCTTGCAAAAAAAAAAAAAAGTAAATTTCTCCAAAATGACAATGAACAAAAAAAATTACCGTTTTGGCCTAAAATTCACAATTACTTGTTTAGTTCCTGACAATTCTCAGTGTTGTGAATAAAGATATGAAAAAAAAAATCTTGTCATGTAATAAGTACAGGAGAATTGAATTACTTGTTCAGCAATGTAACTAATTCTATATGGAAATAAATCTATTTACATATCAATTATAATGTTTGAAAATAATTGATATCCCGCTCAATACATAGCTATTTATAAATGTATACATCTTTTTAGCTGAATCATAAGCATAATTATCATCTTCAGCCGACTTCTGCTGTATCTTAAATACCTTTAACATTGTCTCTAAGACTTGCAAAATAAAATTAAAACCAAAGAATGTTAAGAGACAAGCCAGAGTTAGGGAAGGCAGAAATATGGGATAGAGCAGTACAATGACCAGTCAAGGATAATCAAAAAGGAGAATAGTCCGTATAGCTGAGATTAAAAACCAGGAATACACAGAAATAGAAAGTTTTGGGACGCAGGACGTCCATTGGCTGTGCCATAGCATGGGCAATGAAAGGTATCCTGACAAAATATAATATTGATTACATTTGTATTTCCTTTAGAAATTGTTTTTTCTTAGTCTTTTACTATAAGAGTGGCCAATTATGTTTTAGAAGGAGAAAAATATTTGCTGTATACTAGTGTTTCCCAATTGATGTTCGGCAGAACCCTGGGGTCCTGAGAGAACGAAACTGGGTTTTGGCCGTGATTTCTCCAATCCAAAATGGCCAAGGTGATTTGCCCATCGGATGGCCCATGCACTAGGGTATTCTTGCTGAACAGGGGTCCGGTGAGGCTTTGCGGCCCTTTAAGAGCGTTACCGAGCCTCTGTAGTATTGGATGCTGGGTGGAAGTGACAGCCGATCACTACCTACCAGACATAGAGAGCGCAGTGATGGATGGAGAGGCAGCAGCAAGGAGCTTCTGCAGAGCCTCCACAGTTGAGCCTCAGCAAGCATCACTACAAGCAAGTAACTCTCCTGCATGCAAAATGTATACTAACAGGAGGGTGGCTGCAAATATAACAGTTGTGATGTGTGTGTGTGTGTGTATCTGTGTCAGTTTGTGTCAGTGTGTGTCAAGGTGTGTGTGTGTGTGTGTGTATGTATGTGCCAGTGTGTGCGTATCAAGATGTTTATATGTATGCATGTGTCATTTTGTTTGTGTGTGTTAATGTGCATGTATATCTGTGTAAGTGTGTATGTGCATACACCCCAGCAATAAAACACCAACACAACATGCATACATACCCCTGTAAACACAAACATTACATGCAAAAACACCCCTCAATTTAAACTCCAAATTTATATACAAACACTCAAACATACCCTTCAGTCAGACACCAATACTACAAAAAACTGTACATCCGCATTTGAAAGCCAACATTACAAACACACCCCTGTATGAAAATGCTAAAATGATATACAAACACATGCTACTAACTACTACAATCTGTTTACCATCTGTAAACATTTGTGTATATATACCAAAAAAAAATCCCCATGCCTTTATCCCTCGCTTTCTCCCTGCCCTCGTGGGCTCCTTTTGCGCGCCAAGTCCTCTAAATTCTCCAAGGTGTAAGACCCACCTAAGAGGTTTGTCTTAAAGTGGCAAGTGGGTTGCATCTAATGGCCATTGGAGTTGCTGAATAACCTTTATTTGTTTAAATGTGCATGGAGTTGGACTGGTGTGGATGCTTGTTTTGTATGTATTCAGGCTGATGTGTCCTATGGTCATTGTAGCCATCCAGAAGTAGTGGGAGTTTGAGCGCAGGACTTATTTTTGTGTATTTGTATGCTTTTTCTAATACTGTAGAAAATATTTTGTATTCTGTAATATACTGATTAACTCTTTATTGACTGAAGGTGAGTGTCAACCCCTCTCTTATTACTAGCAGTGTAGCAAGGTTAATGTTTTAGGAGGGGCAGCCATCATCGGGCGCTGGTCTGATAAGGCAGCTTGCTGGCATGAGAGACAATCTGCCAATGTTCTATCAATTTGTGTTGCCTATCAGATTATGTTTCCAGAGCAGTCTGCATTATCAGGAACTCCATCCCCTGTGTTGTGGAAACATAATTTGCTGGATAATAGACTTTGATAGATTGCTAGATTAATATAAGGGCAGGCTGATGGAGCTTCAGCTCAGCAGCCCGTGTCCAAAATAGACCCATTGTTCTGGTTCTTCCTCCTACATTACCTCTTGACAGCACTGGGAGGAAGTTATATCACATTATAATATGAGAGCCACGCATGAGGGATGTCTCCCATTTAAGGGTTACTTCAACCACCATGACCACATCTGCTTTTAGAAGTGGTCTTGCTGGTAAAAGTTTGTATGTGTATTGTTGCAGCTTGACTCTCTACATATACGGAAATATTTTGCATTCTAGTTTAGAAGACTTCCCAGCGGACCTCATAACCTCAGTATGCCTCTGCTAATGACCACTGGTTCAGACTTTCCCTGGAGCCTCATGACCTCGCTACACTGCTGTAATAACCACTGTCTTAGGCATCCAGCACTCTCCTATAATTTCCTTTCAGGGTGAATTCTATTTTGAAAATATAAAAGTATAATTTATTTAGCTGTACATGCTATAGTAGTGCTGGGAGAACCCTTTTTTTGTCAGCTCCAAAACGGTTAGGCAAAAAATTGGGTTCAGTGCCCATAATCTTATAACATTATTACTGTAAAGTTTAGAATGTCACAAAGGGATACTTAAGAACCAGAACAACATTAACTTAATGAAGCAGATTTCGTGTACAGATCATACCCCTGCAGTCTCACTACTAAATTCTCTACCACTCAAGAGTTATGTCACTTTGTTTATACTGCCATAGGCACACCTTCACTCAGCCTCTAACTAATGTAGCAACTAATCAACAAGATGGAAAAGTAGCCAAACTAGAAGGTCATGGTTGAGTGTGGCCTTTTAACAGAGAGAAAGAGACAGTTTTGTGAAATAGATGTTACTTTGGGAGGCCATAAACTTTTTTTTTGAAGAGGTAGGTTTTGAGATACATCTCAAATGATCGAAGACTAGGGTCGAGTCTGATGGGGCGGTAGGCAGGCTGACCCAAAGGAAAGGAGGCATCCACGAGAAGTCTTTCAAGCACATGTTGGCAGTCAGGGTGCAAGCAGCAGACAGAAAGAGGTCATTGGCAGATCGGAGAGATCGAGATGGGGGCTACGTACAAATTAGTACAGGCTAGTGTTGTTTAGAGTTTTACAGGTAAGGGTTAGCATTTTAATTGACTCCTATAGGGTACTGGAAGCCAATGTTTCTCCATTTTATATCTCTCTTTACATATGTTCTCATTTGCTTTGGAGCATCAAAGGAGATTTACACTTTCTCTGTAAGTTATTATTCGGATATTGAATTTTTCCACTATTTCACTTGCAATTTTGCACTTATGTTACACTAAGTGTGATTATACTGTGTACACACTCTTTGTTTTTGCACAAATTTATGCCCTATTTGCACTTTTTAATATTTAAAGGTACAGCGCACCTATTTTATTTGGATTTTATGTATGGTGGTTTATGAGCTTGTACACTTTTAGGTGCTGCTCCTCCTTTATTATCTTTATATTCATTCAATATTAAGCACTTTTAGCGCCTTTTATTGCTAGTTGTTTTTTTTTTTAGTATATATATATATATATATACACACACACTGTCTAAGTGTATTTTAATATTAATATATAATTATATTATCAAAATACATGTACAATGATATTGATTAAATATATATATATAATTTTCATTATATATATTATAAAAAAAGTAAATATGTAAATACGTTAAAACAATTATTAAAATTTGTAAATTTGTTCTAACTGTATTTTAAAATGTTATATATATATATATATCTCAATATACATGTAGAACGAAATAATATATATATCTATATACATAAGTATATACGGATATATCACTATATATGAATCAAAATAATTTTAAAAATTTATATAATTCTACGTATATATTTATGTAATAATTTTACATAATTAGCTCATTTTATTAATTACAAGTTGCGGGACCTGCCTGACAACCCAGGCCAAAAGTCCAGGGAATTTAATTTGCTAGCACTATATTTAAACCTGTAACTTTCCAAGACACCATAAAACTTGTACATAGGGGGTACTGTTTTACTCAGAAAACTTTGCTGAACACAAATATTAGTGTTTCAAAACCGTAAAATGTATTACAACGACAATATCGTCAGTGAAAGTGAAATTTTTTGCATTTTTCACACACAAATGGCACTTACACGGACGATATTGTTGTGATACGTTTTACTGTTTTGAAACACTAATATTTGTGTTCAGTGAAGTCTCCCGAGTATAACAGTACCGCTCATGTACAGGTTTTATGGTGTTTTCAAAAGGTAGAGAGTCAAATATAAGGCTTGCGTTTCAGTTTTTTCACATTGAAATTCGCCAAGTTGGTTATGTTGCCTTTGAGACCGTACGGTAGCTCAGGAATGAAAATTATGGCATGATGGCATACCATTTGCAATAGTAGACAACCCAAGGTATTGCAAATGGGGTATGTCCAGTCTTTTTTGGTAGCCACTTAGTCACAAACACTGGCCAAAATTGGAATTCAAATAATTTTTTTGCATTTTTCACACACAAACAAATATTAACACTAACTTTGGCCAGTGTTTGTGACCAAGTGGCTACTAAAAAAAGAGATTTGATAGTATCAAAGAGACAACTGGGATTGTGGGAACATGAACTTATGAGAGAGGAAAAATCTGATTGTTTAGCAAGGATGAGAGCTATAGGAATGCAAGAATAATTTATAATAGAGAAAGTCTGACAAAGTGCAAGACTTTCTTATGCAGCTCTCAGCTAAACGGGATCATCTCTGCAAATAGCAGTTGACTTGGTGTGCAACAGAGGTGCGTCCTCCTTGAGCTGCATGTTGTACATTAGCGTGTTCAGTTCTTGGGACTTATCTCTTTGTCCAATTGAGGATGCCATGTCAAGGTTAAATGCATATTTGTTGTATCTTTATTTTATTCTTAAAAGGAGACTCCAATGCCAAAATAAAAATTTAAGATCACTATTTAGTGGATATGCACCCAATGAAAACATGCTTGTATTTAGTTATGTATTTTTCATTGAGGTTATATCTATATAACTGCAAAAGTTGCAGTATATGCAATCCATCCCCTTCTTCCTCATCTAAGACTTTTTGTGGTTGTCCAATCACAGACTTCTTAATGAGAAGTCTTTGCAAGGCAGGTGCTCCGGGCAATTGCCTGACTCTTAAAGTGACACTATAGGCATCAAAACAGCAGTTTTTGTTGAATTGATCTTACCTCTGAAGTCTCTCTGCTTAATTATTTGCCATTTAGGAAAATACTTTCTGATTTAAATTTTATATTTCTGTAATAAATCTAGAGAAAACAATCTGGTGGAAATTAAAATATTTCTTAAAGGGACACTACAGTCCCCTAAAGAACTTTAGCTTGCTAAAGTGCATTGTCCTCTTTTGTGTTTTTATTTTACAGAAAGTGCAGATTTCAAAAGAAAGTGGCACTTTTGTAAATTAACAGAGTTATACCACTCTCTGTCAATCATATAACTGCCCTGTTACTTCCAGGTTATCTAGCTCAGTGGGGCTAAACTTAAAGGGACACTTTAGTCCACAGAACAACTACAGCTTATTGTATTTGTTTTGGTGAGTATAATCATTCCATTCAGGGTTATTGTAGTAAACAATCTTTCAGAGAAAATGCAGTGTTTACATTACAGCCCAGTGATAACTCCACTGGCCACTCCCTAAATGGCTGCTAGAGGTTCTTCCTGGGGCAGCACTGCCATTCAGTGTCTCCACCCTTTGCACGGAGATCCTGAACTTTCCACATAGAGATGCATTCATTCAGTGCATCTCTATGTGATATGGGGATGCTGATTAGCCAGAGCTTTGTTTGACTTTTGACAGCTGATTGGCCAGGGATGTGTTTGGCTTGTGGCCTCCTTGACAGTCTCAGTCAATCCTGTCGGAAAGCATTGTGATTGGCTCAGAGAATCACTTATGATGATGTCGGCCAAGCAGGCAGATCAGGGGCAGAGGCAACAGTTGCAGACTTGAATATAAGTAATATTTTAATATATTTAGGGAGGCATAGGGCTAGATGGTGGTTTTAACACTATAGGGTCAGGAATAAATGTTTGTGTTCCTGAACCTATAGTGTTCCTTTAATGGTATGTTTGAAATATCACTTATTCTGCAGTTTATTCTTATAGTTTGTTAATGACTTAAACTTAAGCCTTGATAACTTGTAGCACTTCTGGTTGAATGTTGTGACAGATGGATACAAGATAAAAGAAGCACAAGTTCATCTGAGGTTATAGGAGGGGATGTTCCTCAGCTAGATGTGACCAAGCATTGGGTAACATATTTAATAGTTTAAGTTGAAAACCTATTGTTTGTTTATGTTCTTAAAATTGTATCATTTTAAATATGGTTTCGTAGCATACAAAATGGTTGCATTAGGTTCAAATTGTCTAACGTATATTGTAAATTTGTGTTTAAAGTAGATCTTTTTATTTTTGAGTATTTCTTAATGAAATTGTCATTTTAATTGAAATTTTAAATCGATCAAAAGATCTAAGACAAAGAACTACAACTTCCATGCATTTAGAATGACAAAGCATCATGGAAGCTGTCGTTTTAAAACATCTGTGGATCTAGCCTCTGGGCAATATTCCTCAAGTCCCCTCAACTTCCACACACCAAGTGATCATGTCAGCTTTGGGTTCAAAATATGAAAGAGCCACTTTAACATTCATTTAATAAGCAGCTAGGTTTATTGGTAAAACGGAAATTTGGAACAAATTTTATATGTAAAACAGATGTGTCCACTTTTCAATATTGATTTCTTAGGATGTTTCCTTATTTTAGTCAATATGTAGCCCATATTGAAATCATCCCTCTTTTTTCTGACAAATGTATTTCTCTTCTTCTCTGTGAACTCTGTTTTAAATTTTTATGCAGAATATGATAGAAGCCTGATCTGTCAGTTCTTCAGAGCACTCATAAGGGTTTCTGTATGATATCCTACAAAACCAAAAGGGTTTAAAATTCATAGACTGCATTATCATAAGAAAATGTGCTAAACTTTGCATAAATATCTTTAAAAAATAACTTTTAGTTATTTTACTTTATTATATATTTCTTATATTAAGCAAGTTTTCCATATAACTTCAGGCATGCACTCCAAAGGCAAACCTACAAACACTTTTTTTGAAGCTTATTGAAAAAATAATTTAGGTATTGCAATAAATACAATACAAAAAAAAATGTATTTATACCTGTGTGAAGAACAAGTATGGTATAGTTTAAAACATATACACAGTTGGGTGCTACTGTCACAAATGCGTGAATATAGTTACCACTCAGGGTCCAGATAATAACATAGTATGAGAGCAAATATGGTGAAGTATTTAATGATGACAAATTTAAAATCAAAATAATGAAAACACACTCACAAAAGTGGCACAAAAAAAATTAGTGTGCACGAAAGCGTTGCAGCCACCAATGGGCTAGGTCCCCCTAGAGAGAGTCTGCCAATGGTACCTATGGATGCCTATAGATCAATGTGTGCCAGTCCAGGAATACCCTTATTGGAAGGATGGATACAATCTCCGTGGTCCTGCAGGTACTGGCTTTAATCTCAAGTCTTCACTGGGGGCACTTGTGCAAGCTCAAAGTTTTTCATCCTTAAGACTTTTTCAAGAGCTGTATCTTCTTTCTGTACTTCAGCATTTAAATGGCGTTTCGCGCGGCTTTCTATTACGTGCGCATGTGCAAAACGGGGGGAGATTGTGACGTATAACTTCGTGTCTCAATTTCCCCTCGCGCAATCGCACGCGTCCAGTTTGGAACGCGCATACATTTATTGGTGCTCTACGCAAGAAGACACACATTCCGAACAAGTAATAAAAATCTTGTCGGAAACAAGTGCGGTAGCGCTGCAAAATAAAGAGAAAATCCAATGTATTCAAAGAGAAAAGATAGTAACCCCTCACAAATTGATTGTAAATGGAATAATGATAATGCAAATATGTAGATAAAAGTAAACGTTCATAATATATAAAAAGCATATTTATATGAGTACTTCAAAAATCTGATGGTATGTATGTATGTATGTATGTATAAAATCATTTGTGTGGGTCAAGAAAATAAATGATACATATTAAAGGGACACTATAGTCACCCAGACCACTTCAACTAAATGAAGTGGTCTGGGTGCCAGGTCCCTCAAGTTTTAACTGTTCAGATGCAAACATAGCAGTTTCAGAGAAACTGCTATATTTACATTGCAGGGTTAATCCAGCTTCTAGTGGCTGTCTTCCAGCCATCACGCAGAGCGTCCATAGGAAAGCATTGAGAAATGCTTTCCTATGGACACTTTGTGCGTGAGGCATTGCCGCACATTCGGCTCCGCTGACGTCCCGGCGCTGGATTAAGGTAAACTGCTGAACGGGTTTTAACTCCTTCAGCGCCACGGGAGAGGGACCCTGAGGGTGGGGGGACCCTCAGGGCACTATAGTGTCAGGAAAACTGCTTTGTTTTCCTGACACTATAGTTATTCTTTAAATATATACAAACTAGTCAAAAGTGCACAATGGCTGCAACGCTTTCTTGCACACTAAGATCTATTTCTTTTTGTGCCACTTTTTGTGTTTTCATTGTTTTGATTTTAAATGTATCATTAAATATTTCACCATATCTTTTCTCTTATACTTTTTTACATGTTATCATCTGGGACCTGAGTGATTACTATATTCACACATTTGTGACACTGGCACCCTATTGTATATAGGTTTTAAACTATACCACACTTGTTCTTTATATTGTTGGTATTTGGGAGTGCTCCCATTGACAAATAATGTCAATGTATAAAATCCTAGTCACAATAAATATCTAAACCAGAAGCAAGTAGTATCTGCACAATATCCCACTGAGGGAGTAATATCAATGGTGAGTGCAGAGGTAAAACCTTCCTGGTAACAGTGTGTTACATCACTGTTGCAAATAAAAGTTCACTGTGCTCTAAGCAATGGCACTGAAATTGATACAGTTCACAACAAAGTATTAAGAGAAAGTGAATCAATAGAGAACAGTGTTTCCAGCTAGACAAGGTACTCATTGTCCCACCTTTTGCCAGCCCCAGGAGGTTAGTCAACTACGGTGGTTGAGCATTCCCAGCGCTCTGGTTGTAAAATGGAGGGTTTCCACTTCCCGTGCACAATTAAGTGAAGGAAAACGTATGCTGTAGGCCTGCCTTGCTGCCATGTGTATTCTCAATCCACTGATGTTCGACCAGGTGTGTGCACGTGTCTGATCACCTGCTCCTGGAAACTTATTGAAAGTTCCCGCCTCACGCGTTTCGTGGCGCTATCGGCCTGAATATTCAGTGTAGGTTTGTGCACAGGCTTGTGACTAATAATTCCATTCTTTTTCAGGCCAGACTGGCTTGTTGGATTTATCCCAGTGGACTGCAGTATCTTACCTTGAGTGATTTATAACATTTTGACATTTGCTCACCCAGCCAAGTTGGCCATTTGAACCTTGTGAGTCTTACATTGGTAGGCAGTGCATATATTTGCTTATTTATTCCATACCATTTTTGAGAATAATATCTTTCCTATCTATTCAGCACCTCTTTCTACTCAGATGTCAATAAATGTAACACAATTAACACAGATTAAAATCCCTATATTTACAATCAATACTTTTCTTTGAGGACCGTTATCAAGCTTGACACTAATTCATTATTTTTCATTGTTTCTATCAAAGAAATAAAATGGAGTGGGTAGAACTCTTATTTTCCTGCAGTGACACAGAATGATTTAATCTTAGATTGCTTCAGATAGCTAATGTGCTTACAGTCTGCCATCCTTACTCTTACCCTGGCCAATTTCAAGATGTTAAGAAATGCATATTTATTGCATTCCACCACACACGTTTTGATGTCTCCTTTTTCTTGTGACTTCTAATATGCCTTTCCTTTTTTTGTTGAACTTTGCAATGAAAATGTCCTGCAGCTAAATTTGGCTCATAAATGGCTGATTAGCTGTTTCCTCCAGTGTACTGTAAAAAGGATTTTAAAAGAGGAAATGTACAGAAAAATTACCCAGGAATGTTTGCTTGAAAGCTACAGGGAAACTAATCCTACTTATTTTGCAGCAGCATGCAACTTGAAGTGTGTATGATTTTTTTTTTAATATATATTGCATTAAAAAGATTTTTCAACTTCTGCATTGAAAATTCTCTACTTTGTATGCTTTTGCTTATTAAGTGGATACTCTCGCACCAAAATAGCTTTAGCTTAGACTGACACTATCCGCTCATTAAAGTGGTCTGGGTACAGTGTCCCTATTGCACTTAGTGCTGCAATGTCTACCAGACTGCCACTAGAGGTGCTTTCGGAATGTTACCAGACTTTTGGTCCACTAACTGACGCTTGACATCCGCATGCAAAGCATGCGGACATCTAGTGCCTATTTCCCCTTAGGAAAGCATTGATTCAATGCTTTCCTATGGGGAGGCCTAATGTGCGCGCGGCACTCTCCAAGCATTTGCATTAGCGCCCCCTCGTCGAGTGATGTCAGAGTAGGCAAAGCTTTTTAACCCTTTATTATATGCATTTAGGATTATACTGCCTAGATTTTCTTTTAAAACAGCATCTTGATGACTACAAATGCCTAACAGACTTCCAGTTCAGTAAGAGGACACTCACAAGGGTCTATTCACTTCATGCACAAAATTATATTAACTTGTGTGTTATCATTAACCAACCGCAACTACATTGGGATAAATAAATAATGAGTTACATCCAGGGAGGATGGAGGAAGTGGTGTCATTTAAAAAAAAAAAAAAAATATATATATATATATATATATATATATATATATATATAAACACCAATACAAAAATGGATATTGCATTTTTTTATGTGCACTCTTAATGCATAATACTACATAATACTAATACATTAGAAATCTATGAAACTTTCCAATTGAAAACTGTGAATATCAGAAATGCAAGATATATAGCACTGAGGCATATAAAACCAATTTGTTAATATCAAAGTGAAGTCTATATTTATAGGTCTCTTTCTATATCCATTATTTATTGTATAAGGCTGTGGTTCCCAAACTTTTTAAATTCAAGGCGCCCTTAATATTTCAGTGGCACCCCAAGTCTAAATGTCTAGGTTGTATATCTGTACGTGTGTGTTTGTATGTAATGTTTGCGTTTGATTGCAGGGGTGTGTCTGAATGTAATGTTCACTTTTAAATGTGGATGTACATTTGTGTGAAGTATTTATTTGTGTTTGAGTGAAGGGGTGTGTTTGTAAATATTTGTTTTTTGAGTTTGCGTGAAGGGGTGTGTGTGTTTGTATGTAATATTTGTGTTAGATTGTAGGAGTGTGCTGGTGTTTGATTGGATGTATGCACATACACTACCACATACATACACAGATATTCATGCACATTAACACACAGATGTATATAAATACACAGACACATACACACATATAGATACACACAAATATTGATACATGCCTACACCATGACACAGATACACACACACACACACTGACATAAAACCACACACCCTGACACACAGAGGCACATACACAGATGTGTGCGCAGATACTGAAGCACACTGACATAGGTACACACACAAACAGATGCATACCCTGACAGACACTCTCACTCACAAACACCCTGACACTACACACACACACACTCATACATACTCACAAAAATACATTCATACACATACTCATGCTCTCATACATATACACACACTTACACTAATACACACACTCATACACTCACACACAAGTTATTTTATTATATCTCTAGCCACCTTCTTGTCGCGGTCATAAAGGACCGCAGCACTCAACCTCGTCTCTGTAGAGCAGTAATGTTTCCCCGGTTCTATAATCATAGCATTGGGGAAACATTCCGCGGCACCCCTGTGTGCAGATCGCGGCGGCCCAGTGAATGGCCTCCTTCTGCCTCCACCCCATGTGAAGCAAGGATAAGGAAACCCAATGCCAATGGCCCAGTGATTGGGTCTTTACCATTGTTTTAAACGACTTAGTCAAACAAAATCCAGCCCAAGGAATGGCTTGCCATGTGGTGCCCCATCTCTCTGGCGTTTCCCATTCTAGTTATTTTGTTTGAGAGACTCACTGGCACTGCCATTGAAATGCTCTTTGCCACACTAGCCAGGAAGTTGAAGGCCACTTGCCACTCCTCTTCCTTCCTAGAAAACTCTCCCTCCCTAAAAACAGACTGGAGGAAGGAAGGAGGAAGACTTTCACTGTGTCTTCATTTGTGGTCTGAACAACAAAGGAAGACAACATGGTTCAAGTGGCAAATTACAGTCACAAAGTCATATCTCAAGCCATGAGAAAACATGTGGTAAAAGTGGTAATGTACTGAATTCTAACACAAATTGCTTTCCTACTCATTTCTATTTTGTTACACCAGTGTGCTGTCCCATGCTTTTATTTCATTATGTTGTGTTTGCATGTTTTTTGTTTTTTTTTATTCATTGATGCATCAGTACTTAAATCTTGTTTTATAGACACCAAATTGAATAATATCAGTTGCTACAGATGAACTCATTCTTAGGTAATATTTGCCTCAAGGTTCATCTATTTTAATGTTTTGAAGCTGTTACCATAACCAACTTTTTTTTTTTTTTTTTTTAGGGAAACTCGTGGCTGTTGCAGTAATTGATGATAAAAATAATTCAGCTGAGCACACAGGGTAACAAAAGATTTTATTATTTTTACCAAAAATATGTACCTTTTAATTAGATTATTCTTTAAAACGAACTAGACAGACATTGGCTATAGCTTTTGCTTATGTTTCTCACAGAGAAATACTTTTAAGTTTGTTAGGAGCTAAAAGCCCTGTGCAAACCTGTAATATGCTACAGTTTTTTTTTTGTTTTGTTTTGTTTTATTCCCTAATGTTGTATATATAATCGTATAAAATGAGCTTGTGCACATCATGGATTTAAACTGCACAAGAAAATGATCTACGAATTAGAGAAAAAGTCACTGCAACATTAAACATTACATTTTTATCTAGTTCATGTGCATAGTCACACTTAATAATCATCATCATTGTTCTCATTAGCTGTGCAGTTAACTTTTTTTTTTCTTTTTTTTTTTGCCGGCAATGATATTACAAAATAAATTACATTTTGTAATTGAATATTGGATAGTCTTGTGCCTCCTTACAGTCTGTTAGCACATTTACCTGTAGCTTCTTAGGAACAGTATAGGGCAATGGTGCTGATGATACTATGCCAGCAGTTTTAAAATATCTGGGGGTCTACAGTTTGGACACTCCTGGTATAGAGCAGTTCCAAAGTCAGGGATCAGAAACCTTCAGCACTTCAGATGTTGTGGTGTTATGTATTTTTTTTTTTTGCCAGCGTTGTGGCTATAAGAGCATTATGGGAGATGTAGTCCTCTACATCTGGAGTGCTGAAGGTTGCCTACCCCTGTCCTAAATATTAAACTGCTGGTTGCACGAAGGCTGGTTTGGATAGAACATCTTGTATTAGAACTTTAGCTCTTAACTGCTGTTCTATACCTCTATTATTGTACCTCTCGTCATTTGACTTGACAGTTCCCAAGAACAAAGTAGTCATGTTTTTTATAATTTGATCAGTCTTATTTAATTAAAGGGCTTATCCAGTTATTAAACTTCCGCAGGGCTTCGTCTCCTGCAAACACACTTTTTTTCTTCTAGGATGACTGCTGTATATATTAGGATTTCTGTATATGACTGCTGTATATAGTAGCTACCATCTGACTATTTCAGATTTATACACTACTTAACCAATTTAAACTTGTATGTCTAAATATTGAAAATATTAATTTCCTTTTTCTTTTAGCTTGAAGTCTATTGTTCAAGATGTAGCAAAAAACTACCGGGATCATTTTCATCGGTATATCAATATTCTTTCTTTTCTTTTTTCTTTTTTTTTTTTTTTTCTCACCCCCCTCCCTCCCCAACTTCCTAACATTATAGTGTCCTGTTACAAGTTTACATTGCAGTGTTTTACATTGCACTGTTGGTGACATTGCAGCCAGACCCTTTCATTGATATGGGTGCCTATAGTATTTGCCCATAGCATTTGATTGGTGTACACAGGATTTACTAACAAAGCTCATTTCCCATTCACAATCCTTCTTTTTTATTTTATTTTTTTAAACAGTATTTTTTAACATGAAATTAAATAATCTTTACTGCATGCTAAAATGTGCATATATTTATTTACAGAGACTTTCAGTTTGGGCACATGGACGGGAATGAATACATCAATAGCCTGCTAATGGAGTAAGTGCTTTAAAATGAAGTATAATTTTGGCTGCATAGGTTGGCATTATTTCTGAATGTTGACGTAGAATATTTTCAATTTCAAATGTATCAGATGTGGCTGAGTTTCATTTGAATACTCTGTGCGTGCTGTGTTCTTGTACCATGCATCCAGCTGTGTGCTTAAAGCACCATAATCACTTCAGTGTTCTGTAAGTAATCCTTAAAGTGGGAACAAAAAATCTTTTCAACTTTTGCAAGAATGATTTGGGCTTGCTGACTGACTTTTAATAGATTTGTGTGAATTTTCTTTTTGATCTCTCCTGGAATACTTTGCTTTTAAGGCAGGTTAGAAATGATTTGGATTGAGATACAGTCATTCGGTGAGTTTTCTTGTAGCTTCCTGCTTTCACTCGGCTAACGCTCCATGTGTTATAGATATATAACATTTAAAGTTTTTTTTAGCCATTTGCCAATATGATGTAGTTATGGATATCAGATTTTCTTTAAAAGTGTTTTAATTTGTATTATTTTTACTTTTTCCAAAACACAGATATTACCAGCAGCTATTTATCTTAATGCATTAAGTTGAAATATGTCATCCTATCTTGAACAGTTTAAGAAATCTAAGCAATCCATAAAGATTTTTTTTTGTTATTTTTATTATATGTTAGGTGACATACCTAAAATATTACTAATGCATGTACATGTCCCATATAGCAATAACTGCTTATTTTGGAAGTACAGATTTGTAATACACAGTAATCAAAGATTTGAAATGGAAGCCAGTTTTCATCTTGCATTTATGAGTGAATTTTGTAGTATACAAATTAAGATCACTGATATGTGTTTAACATCACATTTTCTATTGCAATTTGATTAAAGGTAAATACAATAAACTTGTAAAAGGTTTGTTAAAGTACTGCAGGAAAATAGCTTAGAATGACACACTTCACACACATGTCCCATTTTGTACTCCGCAAGAAAGCTTACAATTAATGTAGAGGCTCTGCCTCACTTTTTACATGTTGGCTTTAGTACTTGAAATGGTGCTTGAAATGTTCCTCTAAAAAAATTAATTTATAGCTTTATTGTGGTTTGTGATTTTAGAATTCACTTGCGAATTGCTGGGTTAAAATATACTGTTTTTACGGAGTTCCAAGATGGCGTCTGGCCATGTGGCTTGGGAATTCCAAGATGGCCACCAGCCAAGTGCTTCCAGGAGCACCAATATGGCCACCGATCATGTACTTTCTGGAGCACCAAGATGCCTGCAGTTCATGTACTTCAAAGAGCATCAGGTTGCCACCAGCCATGTTTCCTGGTGTTACCTAGTTTAGATTAACCATAGACTTCAACAGAGCTACTGGAAACCCACATATATTTGCAAGCATTCAAAGCTAACCCTTTAATTTTGAAAAGCTATAATTTAGATTATTAGCTGCATCAGGTATTTTGACAGATATATTCTAACAGGTAACCCTAGTAGTGCAGCAGAAGAGAATGTTAAATAAAAAGATGTTTGACACCCTCCACAATGGGTTACCTTAAAAATGAACCTACTAGGTCCATATGACCTTTCCAGCCTACTGTGCTTACCAAAGAAAATCAGACCATCTGTGCTCCCCATGCCAACACAAACTTACTAGCACTGTGTATTTGGAACAAACCTTGTCTTAAGCTCACAAACTCTCCCCGTCTTTCCTTAGCTACCCCAATTCTGCATCCCCACATTCCTTGCCAGGCCCTCGAATGAACATGGAATTACCCACTTCTACCATATCTACCTTCACAGGAAACTGTTAGACTTAGATTCCCTGATGACAAAATATGATTTACCCCTGACTTTGAACTACTCATACATACAACTGAAATCTTTTCTACAACTACTGTTATTGACCAGCACACTGCACATATCACACACAAAGACCCCCACACCTTGGGAATTAATTTGTATACGAGGATGTTTACCTATCATCTGTAAACCGATCTCCATGTGCTACAAAATGCAACTTGATTTCCAACCCTTCACTAATTCGACTCTGTCAGAGCTAAACTGTGAGATCTCGCAGACTCAATGGGAAAAAATATTTAGGGCACCCAAACAACTTATTAAATTGGCTTTCCTCCTGGGACAACAGCGTAAAATGTGATATAGGTGGTTTATTGGTTCCCAGAGAGACTGCACAAACGTTGTTAAAAAAAATGCAACAGACACATGGGCTCAGTTATGCACATTTGGTGGCAATGTAGTCGGCTAGACACCTTTTGGGCCGTCATTAAAAACCTCATACTAGAGGCCACCACCCACTCACTGCTTCTTGAGCCACTAATATACTTACTAATGTGTCTACCTGTAGACATCCCAGCCCACTTGAAAAAACTAACCTACTACATCTTGTTGACTGCTCATCGCCTAATTGCAAAAGCGTGGAAAACTCAATCAGCCCCTTCCACCTATGGCCTACTATCAGAAATAGATGTGCAACATTTTTATGAGCGCCAATATAGGGAAATTTTTTTCCCACTCTGACTGTTATAGAAGCTTGGAAAGCTTGGGATTCATGGAGATCGGTAAACACGCCAAAGCTGTAAACAATGTATGGTACATATTATTGACCAAAAAAGTTGGGTCCCCGTGCGCAGGAGGGAAGTTCCGCCTCGTCTGTGGATGAGCACTCACAAGTACTTGTTGTCTTTTAGCTGTCCTACCTGTAACCAAGCATTACAATCAGTAAAAGATAAACTCCGTTTAATATCGTGATGCCTACTGAGGGGATGGAGAGTATAAACTGGGGCTCCTGTCATGACCTGTCATGAGCTGTGAAATGCATGTCTGTAACTGTACCACTCTCATGTATAACAAAGTTGTGACTGACTTGTAAATACCCCCCCCCCCCCTCAAATGTAATAAATTACTCAAATTTAAAAAAAATAAAATGTTCGAAAAAATAGTACTAATAAATATATTCTAGCTAAACACGTGTAATGCTAACTAGACAATTATCTTTTGCATTACTAATCGTATATTTCCCATGATTGCAGTTAAAACATATCAAAGGATATCCAAGCAATTAAATCTAAACACAAGTATAAAAATATAAAGAAATTATACAGTTTTATACTTAGAGTCCCAGGATCCTGGATGAAATGAAGATGAGGGTTTCTACTGCTCTTGGTAGATCAACCTTCATGTCCCTTGATAAAAAAAATATTGGCCTAGAGCACACAGTTGCAGCTTGAGAATTAGTAAGGCTGCCAGGACCTCTGAATAGCCCTGTGCCCTATAACTGCTACATGCTGAATACAAATAAGAAAATCTCCCCCATGATGACCCTACCTCTGCGAGCTAAATCCTGGAATTAAATAGCTCATTGCCCACCCACTAAATTGCATATTCTGCTCCTATTCTCTACTCGTTCCTTACCTGACGCATGCATCTCAGGAACAGTTAAACTAGTTTAACTGTATATTACTTCACGAGTAACTATATTGTTAGGACTATATAACCAGTTTCCAGGACTACAGGAGCAATTATAGTCCTAAAAACTGTCACTTATCCAGGGAATATTTGCTAAATATTGAAACTCAAAGTCTATAACTTAGTGAGTTATGGGCGCAAAAGCACAAATAGCATTAAAACTGTTACTCATATTTGATATCCATGACAAGCATTAATTTAACTAGCCAATCGAATGCTGTTATCTTCTTTTTAAAAATAAAGGTGACTTCTCCTTGACCTCACTTGCATTTGCTTTGTTATATTTCTTTTCTTTTCTTTACAGTGATCTCAGCATCCCTACGTTTGTTGTACTTAACACCTCCAACCAGCAGTATTTCCTTCCAAGCAAACCAATTAAGAGTACAGAAGACATGGTGCAATTTATTAATGGCATTCTGGATGGCACTGCAGAGGTAAATACAAGTTCTCTGCCTCAACCTACATTTCAAATGTCATATGGATGCTTAGCTATCATTAACCAAAATATTTTGAGAAAAAAATTGTAATCTCTACAAAATGTGATATATATAAAGTAATCTTTTGATTCAGGTTAGTTAATAACGGTTGCTTGTAAAGCAGTCTACGGAGTAAGAACATTGGTCTGTACAAAACTGCCTCTATCTTAACTACATATTTTACTGCTAGAATAGGTTCATATAGTGTTTATTATTATTTTGCACTATTATGTATGGTGTAAAAAATATAATTAAGTGACTATTTCACTTTGTTTGTTACAATAAATATGAAATCTGATGACTACATACTTGTCATTCTTCCACTGCTATTTTCAAAGGGTTTAGCAGTGTTAACTGAAGTCCGCATAAAACCTTCTCTTTTAATAACCTGTTAAATTAACAGCCAGTATTATATATCACAAATGATAGAATTTTGTATTATTCTAGTACTCTGTTTTATATTTGCCCTTTTTAAATACACTGAATAATTACGATCGCTGTTCTTAATACCATTTTTCTTAATGGAATAAATTCAGGCACAAGGCGGTGATGGAATACTGCAGAGAATCAAGAGGATAGCTTTTGATGCAAAGTCCACTGTCGTAGTAAGTAAAATGGCTTTGAAAGTGGATAAAATCACTAACATTTTTAAATTTTGCCCAACTTTTCTCTGTTAAGACCTGACTGTTCATTTAATTTACAAATTTAGCCTGCTACAAATGCTACTTGATGGAGATTGTATGAGCAATCCAAAGATATTTAAAAGATATTTAATCTGCACTTCTTAGATCCTCATTTTCTACAGTTTCCATTAAAATATACAAATACATTTTTTTCTTAAGTTGCATATTTTCCTTTTATAAGGTACGTATATAAGTAAAGTAAAAGATATTCACGCACACTTACCTGGAGCTTTAATACAGCTCTAGTGTATGCGCCTGGGCGGAATAATTCCCGCCTATGGATCAAGTGCAGAGGCAATTCTTCGAGTTATAGGTGTGCTAGGGGGTATCCTCATAAAAAACAAACAAAAATAGTCAATGGTGAAGTATGTAAAGCTATGAAGCGAGGGTAGGTAAAAACTATAAAATGTACACTCACGTGTAATGGAGCCGTAAAACCTGGCTCCTCTGATAGCGCTTGAAATGGTATGATCCCCCCCACTCAAGGATACTGGTGTAAATATAAATTCTTCCGTCCGTGTATATGTGGAGAAAAACAAACAGAACCACAATAGTGTACACAGTAAAAAGGAGTGTAAGCAGAAAGTTAAACCTACTCTCATGCCAAAGAGCAAGTTCCGGTTTGCTCAATCCAAAGTGCTTGGGTGGTACGATCCCCACCAGGGATATAGCTCCAAACAATCCAACAGCAGCAAAGTTAGGTCCAATTAAAAAAGAACTTTAATGTTAAAACAATAATAAAAATAATACAATATATAATAAAATAGTGATAAAGTTATAAACAATACACTTAACGCGTGTTTATAAACACTTTTGATAAAGCTTATCCAAGGAGAAATGCGTTAAGTGTATGGTTTATAACTTTTTTATCACTATTTTATTTTATTATATATTGTATTCCTTTTATTATTATTTTTTAACATTAAAGTACTTTTTTAATTGGACCTAACTTTGCTGCTCCAGTTTGCTGCACCTGTATCCTTGAGTGGGGATCATACCACTTCAAGCAGAGGAGCCAGGTTTTATGGCTCCATTATACGTGAGTGTACATTTTATAGTTTTTGGACAAATAAGCAAACAATGGTGAGAGCACTCAAGAAGATAAATAAATATTACCCAAATTGGCAGTCATATAATTCTCTGAAATTAAACAAAGAAGAAAGACATAGGGTAATAAAGTTTAGACTCAAATAATAGAATATATGTAAGAAACGAAAAAACAAAGGAAAGAGGGCGCACCTTTAATAAAAATATATAAAATAAATAATATAAAGCTAAAAAATATATATATTAAAATAAAAAAAAGTCCAAAGTAACAGTCCACAATAAATGGAGAACGTTCTTGTAAAATATACCTTGTCAAGGATTACTGAGGTGCTGAACCTTCCCCAATGTTTTTAAACCTTTTAATTTACCTTTGCACACATCCTACACCTAGATTGCCTGTGAGCTTACAATCTAAAGGTATATTTTTCTTTCATAAGGCACATATGCACAATTAAATCTCATGGTCTTTAATCATGTGTTTGATTAAACCAAATTCACCTTTGCACACATCCTACACCTGGATAGCCTGTGAACTTAAAATCTAAAGGTAAGTAGCTAGCACATTGTATATAAAGCCTTAGGAGTGTTATCAAGTTGGCTTTTTTTATATGTATCACAGACTCTTTAAACGCATAACACCGTTACAGCATTCTATGCCGTCCGCAACATAATGGGTGTTTTAACTACTTTGTGGCCTGGAGCCGGCTGCTGACTTACTGTTCCGGCGCAATGGGGACTGCCTGACAGCCCGGGAAGTCCCCATCCTGCAATTCAAGCCCCCAATCACTTGGCTCCAGTAGCTTCCCATAGAGCTGCCTCAGCTGTCAGGTCAGGCCCTAACTGCTAAAAGTAAAAAAAAAAATTAAGGCACCAATTATTATTATAATTATTAACAACTTGGACAATTGCCTCCATCCTAAAGGGGTTAATGTTCTTCTGTCTCTCTAATAGGGAACATGGATGAAATGATTTAACAATATTTTAAAATGACTTTCATATACAGTATGCAGGCATAATTAAATTATTAAAGAAAGTGCTTATGGTATGTAAACCTGTTACGTATTCTGTTACTAATAGTATGGTTTTTGTTTTTTCCTGTTTTAAACTAGTCTGTTTTCAAAAGTTCCCCTCTTCTTGGCTGCTTTCTGTTCGGTCTGCCACTGGGTGTCATCAGTATAATGTGTTATGGAATCTGTACAGCAGACACGGATGATGGCACAGAAGAAATGACCAGAAAAGACGTGATTGATCAGAATGTATCAGATGAGGGCAGTGATGAAGAACAAGATGAGGACAAGAAAGGAGAGAACTCCACTGAAGTGTCAGATGCAGACCAAGAAGAAAAAGATTTTATAGAAAAGAAAAAGGATTAACTTCTGTGTAGATGTGATAGTTCTCTAGGAATCCACAAAAAGAGAGAAAGAAAATGTATTTATTTAACTCAGCCACTTACAAAAATGTTTATCAAAAGAAAAATGTGTGGACCCTGCTACACTTGGCATTCTTTGCTTTTCCAATTTTTTTTACCTAATGGAAGTATCTGGCAAACAATATAGAATTTAATAAACTATTGTGAAACAAAGAGACAAGATAGAAAAATATTTTTTTTTTTTTTTTTACATTACAATATATCGCCACTAGACATCTTATTTTATTTGGTGCAAACAGGTGCATTAAATACAATTGAAGATGTTTGTGTTACTTTCCATCGCCTTACAAACTCCAGATAAATATAATCATTTTAACATTTTTGTACCTTGGCTCACCAGCTCCATAGACATGAGGGCCATTTTCTATTTTTGTATGCTGGCTCACAAGCTCCATGCATGTAGGTCAATTTTATAATACAAGGTCTGAATTTAGTTCACACACTCTATGCATGTAGGGAATGTTTACATTATTTCTTTCAATGATTGATAACCTGACTATTATGGTAAAATATTGCCCATCGGAGATCTATACATAAGACTGTACCTAGCTAAAACATGGCATTTTACTCAGAGATGAAAGTATCACAGATTTTATGATTTCCTTAATGTTGATTTGAAATATATTTGTAAAGCAAATTTAAAAATTTCTTTTCAAGTGTATTTTTATAACTTCTGTAAATTGCAGTTTTCTGAGATTTCTTTTATGATGTTAAGATGAATGTCATAATACTTTTTTAGCCAATTTAGTTATCCTTAAATAAGTTTCATATTCACACCACTTAACGTCATAATGTTTTGAAGTAATTTGGCTGTGTCTTCTACACTTGCTATAATACAATGATGTGTGTTAATATAATTCAGATATAATAAATTGCCTTTGTCCAACTTGACCGTTTAGAATTGGAGTATTAATATATTTCTGTTTTTGAATCAGAAGAATTGTAAAATGAGTTGCACATTAGGAAAGTAGTGCATTGATGTAATTATAGATAAAGGGTAGTTTCAATCTATGTATGTATTCCTATGTACATGAAAGTACCATTACTGATTTGAAACGGTGATATTGCAGAGAATGTATTCAGAATCTCTGGAGAGATGCATTTGGGAAAAGTCAGAGGAAGCTTCATGGCTACCATGGTGATTACCATAGTAAAACAAATGTATGCTGCTGCATGTGTTTATTTTATTCCTTTTTTCCAGGAAGTGATTGAGCTACTTTCATTTTGGGCCTTTATTTCTTTGGATCACAACAAAGAACAACATTTTTGCTGCACAGAACTCTATATGTGTGCACCAATTACTCAGAGACTCAGCAGCCTACATATTCATAGTACGTGGTCATGCATGCAGGGTTAGTATCCCAAAATGCACAAAAACACTGGTTAATTTACAATATCCTTATAGGGAAAATTTAATTTTTGTCATGCAGTTAAAAATAAGCTCATGTGATGCTTCTGTATCACATGGAATACTACAAAATCTGTTTATTATTGTAGAAATGCAGATTAGATGTTTTTCAATAAAACAATCATTTAAATTGATTTCCACCATGGGGGCAGGGCCAGCCTCGGCGATGTAGAAAATGTATGTTAAATACTTTTTAATTCCTAAACATGTAGTCCAGCACTATAGTGTTAGGAGTTAAAACTGAAATATTTACTGTTCTACAAAGACATATTCTGGTTACGTGTCAAGTCACATTATATAGTTAATGAAAAAGTTACAAAGTAATAGTCTAAAATATATTTGGACACTAAAGGCATCTCATTGAAGTGTTCTGGATGAACTGTCGCTCGCTGCGCTGCACATTAGGTTTCCGACCCCACTGGCTGATGTGGCGGAGGCGGTGCATGACCCAGTTCCGAGGGACATTTGTGCTGGAATCGGGTAAGTGGAAAAAAATGGTGTTATGACCCTTTACATTTCCATAGGGGCACAGGGGTAGAAGAACACTTAGTGTGTTCTTTTAAGAGAGTCTTTCACGATGCACATTAGGGTCACATTTTGTAGTGCTACAATGGCAGATGCAGCCGCTCACATTCCTCAAAACGGAACTGGCACTTTTCATGTTTTTTATATATTTACAAATCTGAATTTGTGAAGGGTGAAAACAAATGTAGAGATCTACCCCTCTTTACATACAAAGGGGTGCCTCCATCTTAGCTCTCTGTCAATCATTGTTATAAGCTCTGCCCTTTGCATTTGGTTGTCAGTATAGAGAAAACATATAGAATTTAAACTATGTTCCTCTTCATTTGTAATATTTGCCCTGTGTTTGCTTTGTCTGAACTGGTTTATGATGTAATTTGCTAAATCTTTGGTATAAATATAAAATAAAATAGAGTATTTAAAGATTTTGATAAAAACAATGGACCATTTTCATATTCAATGGTGTAAATTCTACAGAAGTGATGTTTTCTATTTGAGAGGGACATCATGGAGGAACAATAAACAATCTTAACTTAAGTATAATGTTAATTCTATACATTTTGCCTAAATTTCTCCAAATGGTACATCGATTATATGTGTATCTAAATAAAGCTGACCCTGCCATTCACATGTTTTATGGATGAGTGTCAACTATGTCATTTAAGTCAATCCAATGTTCTAAAGTTTAAATGTAAGAAACAGGAAAAAAAAAAAAAAAAGTGTAAAAGACAGCTCTACAAGACATGTGAGCTACAATAAACTTGCAGAAAGCTACTGTTCTTAAGGAAATGTGTACGTTTTGGGTGAGGAGAGAGTACTCTATATTTGTTACCAGTACCTCAACAGCTTTTAAACGTTTTATTTTTAGAGCCTGGGGTTCCCAGTAACATAGATGGGGAGATAAACTATTGAATAGAAAACTGCTCCATTGATTAAACAAAGTAGTAACTAAAAGAGGCTTTTCTTTGTTTTGTTTTTATTATGTGCGTCTTTAATATTTTGCATTATTGTAAACATTGTAAAAGCTGATATTTTTATGTTGGGTTTTTTAAGACTAATGTTTGTGTATTTTTTTTTAACACGTTTAGATTTGTGTAAAAGGTTCTAGAGGATGTGGATGGTACAATGTTAATAAATAACAAATAAATTAAATTTTGTATCTAAGGTTCCAGAAATACATTTTTGTTTATTTAGGATTTTTATGTTTAATGGAAATTGCATTCACCGTCTTTATTGAAGGTGTGCAAACCTGTGGCCATAAAACACACAATAACTGTCAATGTTGCTTCCAATGCAAGAAAAGTAGAATGCCTTTTTTTTTTGTTTGCTTGTATTGTTAAATATATTTTTTGAATTTTGTTTATTATGTGAACTTTCAGGTTTCTTCAAATTCAAAGCATTTTATTTTCATTTTGTAGTAATTTAAAACTGAGAAAATGTAAAGCTTTTTTCTGTAATAAAGGAGGTATGTGAAGATACATTGCTCTTGTTTTCAGCATGGTATTAAATGATTTTCTCCTTAAATTATCTATTTATTTTAATTGTTTTTAGTAAAAATGTATTGTACAAATAATGGGAAAAGGGTAAAGAAATGCTGACTCCAAACCATAAAGCATCACTGTGTTTATTAAATGTACGTTTGCGATTATTATTTGTTATTGATCAGAGCAAATCTATCTTGTCACTTTCTACATCAGTTTGATATCTTACGTGATTTCTTAGTCTTTATTGTATTTTCTGTCCATGAAGAAACACTGTCAGTAGTGATGTCCCGAACGGTTCGCCGCGGACTCATCATTGAGTAAACTTTGACCCTGTACCTCACAGTCAGCAGACACATTCCAGCTAATCAGCAGCAGACCCTCCCTCCCAGACCCTCCCTCCCACCTCCTGGACAGCTCACTAAGAATGCAGCTTCACAATGAATGTAAAATGGATGCTGATTGGCTGGAATGTGTCTGCTGACTGTGAGGTACAGGGTCAAAGTTTACTCAATGATGAGTCCGCGGCGAACCGTTCGGGACATCACTAACTGTCAGCCTCAAGTCCTTGCAGTACTACGTGTGGACAAGTTCTCATACCTCCCACATTGATGGAAGTAGACCACACAAATAGATATTTGTGCTTAAATATAGCAGCAAGTATATGAAAACATAATTTTCATAAAATACTCTAACCATCTTAGAAAGGAACACTTGTTTTTTCTCTATCCTTATGAGTTGGACAAATAAATGTCACAAAAAAGTGAAATTCATGTCAATTTGCATTTTGGAAAAAGGCAATAACAAATTATCCTTGCGGATTGTACTTCCAGTGTTCTTTCTATGCTAAATGTGATGCAAAAGGTTATCGTTCATTTTTCAACAGATTTGTGATGTTTGGTTGAATATGTAAAAAAAAAAGTACAGTCAGTCCTCAATCAGTTCTATTGAGAAAATGTAAACTAAATTTCAAAGAACACCATGAGAAACAACACAATGAAAGGGGGGTGGGTCTCTGTGTTTCATGTGTTTTCACATATACGTATTCACTACTAGCAGATATATACATAAATATATATACATAAATTAAATTAGACCGGTCTGCATTGAACCTTTCTTCTGACACAAGAGCAGTATGTAGTAATACTATAACATACTAGACAATGGAAGTAAACTAAATGGAGTGTGAAGATCACCTACTCTTTACTTGCAAAAAAGCCCGGTGAGTTAAATGTACCTGTGCATAATTACTTTTCAAGAATTAAACACATGGTTTAGTTTGTCATGATCTATTGGATGCCACCTATACATAAATGTGAATGGTAGGTTGTTACTATGACTAGTTTGGTTAATGAGCTGCAGACAAGTACATAAATGAGTTGAATAAAAAAAAAAAAAAAAAATTTGCTTTTAATTCAGGAGCATTCACTCTTAACTAAATAATGTATGCCTTTCAATGCAATGATCATTTCAAAGTAAGGAAATTAATGCAAAACTGATGAATAACAACATTAATAGATTTGAACATGGTTTAAAATTTAAATCTGGATAAATATTTATCATTAGTTATGATTTCCTGTTGGGTTTCAGATCCATTCCACACCTAATATAAGGAATATAGTGTTAGTTCCAATAGTATACTTTGCACTTTAAATTATAAAGTAATGTTCCACTCACCATAATAACTCCAGTGCACTCTAGTCATATTGCCAAGATTGCCCTCCCATGGTAAGGAGTCAATATTAGACTGTTTAGGTTAGCAGCAACTTGGTCCCATCTCTCCTTTGCGAACTGTGGTAGCTATATGAGACAAGAAATTCTACAGGGGGTAAAAATCCAAACAGCGTAAAGTCAGGTATATATGTGGCGAAACCGACCTCGCCACTGGGCATTGGAGAAGACTGATTGCCAGCCTCCTGCCATGTGACTATGGCCCCTGGGATGTATTGCCCTTTATAGACATGATTTGGGCATAATGGATTTGTGTTGTGCTGCTGCTGGCCCTTTAAGAACCATCTGGGGACATACTGTAGAGTTACTGGGTGGCCACCATTTCCTGTATCAGAGGCACATGGTGAGAACAATGGATGGTGGCCATTTTAACTCTCAGACACTGTTTGGACTTTTCAACACGGTGCCATCTCGCCAGTATTTGGTGCACAGAGACATCGTGCAGTGGTTTTGGACTATACAGCAGGGGACACATTATACAGGGATTGTTTTTCATTTAGCCTGTATATGTTCTGCAGAATCTGCATTAAACTGTATCTTCCAAAGTACTGAACGGATCTGGTTGAATTTTGGATATGTGGTTCACCCAGATCCCCCGGTTCCAAGGATATATGGGGTTATTGCATGTTTTGGAGTCCCTGTGATGTGTTTTATGAAACTGTATTTCTCTGTCTGTGATAATTAGATTACCCATTGTGTAAGGTAATTGTATCACAGGCAGAGGGGAGGATTTTGTGTGGGAGTGTCTGTGTGTATTGTACGGATTGATTGGTTGTTCTGTAAAACCCTGTGGGCAGTACTAAATTTATGGATTGGGAATAAAAGAGGCTGTATGTGCCAGTACAGGCAGTTCCTGCTTAACCCTCAAAGTGAAGTGTCGTCTCATTATTGGGGGAGGATTTATTGTATGCTGTTCCAGTTTGACTGCTAGGAGTGTAAACCTATTCGCATGGTTTTTCCTATTCGGCTGTATACAACATTCATATGCTTGAGAGCATTCATATGCTTCTCCGGTTCAGTGGTTGTGGTGTATGCCAGAGGGCTTGGAGTCCTCAGGAAGCGCTAGGAGCATCCGTCAATGGAGGGTACTCGGTCAGAGTACAAGGAGCTCCGTTACAATATATGTCTACTCTTCATAAAAGTCCATAAAACGTTTTTATATATCTATAATATATAGTGACTTTTCATGGGCAAAGCGACATGGTCCTCTAGGGTAACAGATATAGAACAACAGTCTCTTATGCAAAAAGGTGTGGTTTATTTACATTGTGCACATTATGCAGCAGTTTGTTGATAAATGCAGCAAAACAGAAAAGAAAATCTACAAACAAAATCCTAATCTGTAGGGTTTCAAGTTAACCCTTTTTACAGGTTCCATAATTATGTCCTGTTCAATAACATGAGTCTTTCCTTGTACTGGAGCGAACACATCTAGATTTCTAGCAACAAACTCTCAGATCCAGTGGCGTACTAAGGGGGGGGCAGAGGGGGTGGTCCGCCCCGGGTGCCAGCTGGGTGGGGGGTGCCATGACCAGCCCCGCCGCCCCCCCCCCATGCTGCAGCCACCCGAGCGCTCTGCAGAGAGCCTCAGGCGGCTGCAGCTTTGCCCGGGCGGTGCGTCCATGAGGGCGGACCGCACCGCCCGGGCGCAGCATGGGGAGAGGGGCTGACAGGAGGGAAGCGCTCAGCGCTCCCTCCTGTCACTCCCTCTGTAGTAGCGTGGCCGAGCCCTGTATAGTCGGCGGGTACAGGGAGCAGCTGTCTCCTGTACCCGGCCGGACTAACAAGGAAGTGTTCACTTTCTGTTAGTCGGCGAGCTGCTTACCTGCCCAGCCCTGAGCTCCCTGCCAGCCACAGAGAAAGAAAGGAGGAGGAGGGGGTGAGAAGAAAGGAGGGAAAAAGAGTGAGAAAGAGGTGGGAAAGGGAGGGTGGGGTGAGAGAGGAGAGGGGGTGAGAAAGGAGGGGTGAGAAAGAGAAAGGAGGAGGGGTGAGAAGGGAGACAAAGGAGGGAGGTAGAGGGTGAGAGAGAAGGGAGGAGGGAGGACAGAGGAGGAGAGAGAGAGGAGAGGGGTGTGAGAAAGGGAGGGTTGAGAAAGAGAAAGGGAGGAGGGTGAGAAAGAGGAGAAAAGGGAGGGGGAGAAAGGAGGGTGAAAAGGGGTGAGAAGAGAGGAGGGTGTATTAATGGGGTGAATTAGTATAGGGTGGATTAATTATAGGGTGGATTAATTCGGAGTGGATGGGGAGGGGTTAATGATGATGGATTAATTATGGGGTGTAGGTGGTAGGGGTAGTGGTATTGGATTAGGGGGGTGGATTAATTATGGGGGTGTATTGATGGGGTGGATTAATTAAGGGGATTATTGATTATTATGGTGGATAAATTAAGGGGTTAATTATGGGGGTGTATTAATTAAGGGGGGATGGATTAATTATGGGGGTGGATTAATTAGTGTGGATTAATTATGGGGGTGGATTAATTAAGGGTATGTGTATCAATTAAAGGGGGGTGGATTAATTAAGGGTGTGTGGATGAATTAGTGTGGATTAATTATGGGGTATGGATTAATTAAGGGGGTATGGATTAATTAGTGTGGATTAATTATGGGGTATGGATTAATTATGGGGGAGTGGATTAATTAAGGGGGTGGATTAATTAGTGTGGATTAATTAAGGGTGTGTGTATCAATTAAGGGGAGTGGATTACTTAAGGGGGGATGGATGAATTAGTGTGGATTAATTAAGGGGTATGGATTAATTAAGGGGTATGGTTTAATTATGGAGTGTGGATTAATTAAAGAAAACCTTTAACATTTTTTACAGTTTTTTTATTTTTTTTTGGGGGGGGGGAGGGGGTGCCAAGCACAGGATCCGCCCCGGGTGCCAAATGCTCTAGGTACGCCCCTGCTCAGATCTCATATTGCTGATGAGGTGCTAGAGTGTTAGCAATGTTGATCTCTGGTCTGAGGAGCTTTGTCTGTCATGGTCATCAAGACCTCTCTGTCTAAATTTATATGATAGATTTGTTCGTGCTTTCTTCTACCAGGTTGTCTCACCTTATAATTAACCTCATTGACCCATTCAATGATCTCGTATGGCCCATGCCAGTTTGCAAGGAATTTACTTTCTACTGTGGGGAATAGTACCATAATCCTGTTGTGGCGAAATTAACCTTGCCACTGGTTTTTGGAGGGGCCTGTTTGCCAGCCTCATACCCTATGACGATGACCCCTGCAATAGACTTGGCGAAATTACTTTACGGCAACGCTCCGAACTCGCGAGAGGAACCTGCAGGAGATGCTGGCTAGAGCTCCCCGGGTCCTCTCTTGCCTCCCTCCCTGCCTGTGGGCCAGTGAGGGAGATCTTTGATCTCCCCACCGGCCCATGGAGGCACACAGCAGGGCA